GCTCTGATTGGTCTACTCTGTTCTGATTGGTCAGATGGCCCAGTCTGCTCTGATTGGTCAGATGGCCCAGTCTGGTGTGATTGGTCTACTGTGTTCTGATTGGTCAGATGGCCCAGTCTGCTCTGATTGGTCAGATGGCCCAGTCTGGTGTGATTGGTCTACTGTGTTCTGATTGGTCAGATGGCCCAGTGTGCTCTGATTGGTCTACTCTGCTCTGATTGGTCAGATGGCCCAGTCTGCTGCGATTGGTCTACTCTGCTCTGATTGGTCTACTCTGTTCTGATTGGTCAGATGGCCCAGTCTGCTCTGATTGGTCAGATGGCCCAGTCTGGTGTGATTGGTCTACTGTGTTCTGATTGGTCAGATGGCCCAGTGTGCTCTGATTGGTCAGATGGCCCAGTCTGGTGTGATTGGTCTACTGTGTTCTAATTGGTCAGATGGCCCAGTGTGCTCTGATTGGTCTACTCTGCTCTGATTGGTCAGATGGCCCAGTCTGCTGCGATTGGTCTACTCTGCTCTGATTGGTCTACTCTGTTCTGATTGGTCAGATGGCCCAGTCTGCTCTGATTGGTCAGATGGCCCAGTCTGGTGTGATTGGTCTACTGTGTTCTGATTGGTCAGATGGCCCAGTGTGCTCTGATTGGTCAGATGGCCCAGTCTGGTGTGATTGGTCTACTGTGTTCTAATTGGTCAGATGGCCCAGTGTGCTCTGATTGGTCAGATGGCCCAGTCTGCTGCGATTGGTCTACTCTGCTCTGACTGGTCTACTCTGTTCTGATTGGTCAGATGGCCCAGTCTGTTGTGATGGTGAAATGGTGCAAAAAACCTTTATTATTAAGAGTGTAAAGTTCATTGCAAGGTTTATAACAACATAAGAGTGTTAAATGATGACATGATTGTAGTTTTAGGTTCAACTATCCCCCTCTAGCGTCTTTAATAATGTGTATGGTGTGTTTGTGTGTTTGTAGTGTGGGATGTTTAAGCGAGCTCTGTTAGCGTCAGCAATAACGTCTCAGGCGGTGAGAAGCGTTCGCTCAGGATGACTGTCTAGCAGGCTGGACAGATCGACAGTCGTGAGGCCGGGTGGATTAGAAACTGCTTTGTAAAAGACCTCTATTTTTCCAGGTATGAGTTTGTTATTTTTACACCGTGAGTTTTTTTCAGTAAAAAAAAAAAAAAGGAACAGGAAAGAAAAAAAAAAAGGGAAAATTCCCGTGCTTTTTGCTGGTTTAATGCTCAGGTTCAATGCTTTACAGTGCTAATGAGTCTCCACTAGGGAAAGCGGTTTGCTCGTGTTTGTGTTTGGAAATGAGGCCAGTACACACAGTTTGCAAATCCAATCGTTTTTCTGAACAAAACTGGATCAAACTGCTGTGTGAACGTGGCGCCGTGTGTGTCTCTCCCTCGCAAACATGTTCTTCATTTCCTTCTGAAAGGGACTCTGCATCTTCCGGCATGTCTATATATTATAGCATTCATATTTACCCTGTGTTTAGATATAGACGTTCTAGTGCTAGTTAAAAAGCCTCGTTCATCATCAGTAAATGCAGCCGGGTCCTCCAGATGTGTTGCTGAACAGCACACGGCATGTCAAATAAACTGTGAATGGTATTATTATTTTCCTTTTTGTTATTATCTACTTGCAGCTTACTAAAAAGAGCCTTGCGAGACGTGACTCTATAATAAAACTACAGTATCGTTGAGCAAATGAACAAAGCTAAGGCCACTGGAAACAAACTTTACGTCAACATGAAATCTGATTTTGCTTTCGGTTTCATTATTTTTCATTCATGTCCACTTTTAATGTCATCTCTTTCTCTTAAGATCAAGTTTCACATCGAAATATTTCAAGTAAATTGGGTTGTGAATAGCGTTTCATGTTGACTTTAAACTCTGGGCCAATTTCCCAATGTGATTGGGGGGAAAATATCAGCCATTATGACTGTACTTTAGTTTTTTTGTTTGTCATTTCTGTTCAGTATGATGGTGAACTTTATTAACATGGTCTGATCGTAATGAAGGCGAACCGAATACACACACCAACCTCAATGTTTCCGTTTACGTGTTGCTCTAAAGATCAGACCTGCGTTTTTAGTCAGTGATATATGAAGTCTTATCACAAATCCTGTAAAATATGATTTTAATTTAATTTAATTTAAAAATGTCGGTCTTTTTATTTGTAGCTGGTCTACATGATCATTTAACTTAATTTATTTTGATGCACTAGTAAGATTTCTGTTAATTGTTGTGTATTTTCCGTCTTCTGAAGTATTACCGACGAGGTGAGATGGCATCTTAAAGAAATGAACATTTGGTTATTATTTTCTCCGCCCGTGTGCTGTTGTTATTTTTATATGGAAATTGGGGAACGTGATATCTGTACATTTATTACATCTGGACACTTTTCAAATGTCATTCTCATAGACCATTGTCACTGTAAAATGAATGCGCTTTATCTAATCAAAAAAATTGTGGCAACAGATTACAAGCAATAGAATTGAGTAATAATTAGTTCCTCAAAAGTTAACCATTTAAAATGAGTAAAATGAACAAAAAAACATACGTTTAAGTCACCATTATGACGGTTTTCTCCCTCAGTGATTCTGCTTGTTAACGTCAGGTGTCTTCAATGTTGGCAATATAAAATAAAGAGTTCTTAATTAATCTTTGACGTCTGTCTGTTATTCAGATATTTTTGTTTAATTTTTTGGTGTAAACTTAACTCATTTTAAATGGTTAACTTTTTTTTTTTAATGCTTTATTTTCAGCTTTTCAATTTACAAAAACAGAAAACCAAGTAGACTAAAAATAAAATTAAAATAAAAGTAAAAAGAAATCCCCCTCCCTCCCAAATGGTTAACTTTTAAGGAATTATTTTGATTAAGTATTACTCAATTCTTATTTGTTCAATTTAATGAATAATATTGTTTGTAATCTGTTGCCACAATTTTATTGATTAGATAAAGCATGTTAATTTTTACATTGGCTCAAATTTAATCATTGTAATAAACTTACAATGATTCATTTTTAGAAGTTAATCAAAATTATTTGTTAATTTGGGGCGTCATAGAGTTCAGTTCGGCTGTCTAAAATGTACGTTCCTCTCTTATTCACGTTAACCATTTTGAATTGTCAACAACTACAAAAATGAACTTTATTTGTGCAGAATGTCATTTTCTTTTTCATGTCTCGCCTCTTTTCCTTCCTTGAATGATGTTCTGATCAACCAATCCTGGAGTTCCCCTGTAACCGCCTGTGTACAGTGTGACAGGAGTGTGTGTAAATCAAGGCAGAGCAACTGCATGGAATAAACACTGATGTACTGTACTAAACTCTCAACGAACTCGTCTTTAAAGTTTCGTCAAGAGGTTTCTTGTGCATGTTGTGTTTCCTTTACAGACCGAAATAAGGCCTAGTATCACTTACATGCGTATAAAGCAGAACTGAGTTTAAGGGCCAGATAACTTATCATTTCAAATAGAGTTGAATGTTCAAAGTTCACAAGTTTTATTGCATTTGCACATTATATCGTTCATTGGGTCTAAGGAGTATTACTGTACAAGCGCTAAGAAAAACAGCTCGGTTACATTTCCCTAATTCACTTAATTGCATGAACTATTAACAAATGTTTAGCTTTTTTTTAATTATGCAAATTATAATGAACTCTCTGGACCACGTCGTTTAGCGGTCACCAGTGACCAAAGCCTTGAAATGCAATCTTTTTTTAATTTTTTTTGTTCAATAGTTTTTTATTTAGCATTTTGAGGGGATTTTATGATGTGCAGTATTTATATTAAAAAAATCCATTTATAATTATACATTTAAAAAAAAAAAATCCCTAAATGCAATATTTCACATTAAAATAGAGTGAAGGCCTTAAAAAATATTGTTTTTTTATTAAGAATAGTTCCATCTGGAGACGTTAACAAATGAAAACTTATGTATGTGTAATGTGTGCATTAATGCCCCCTGCATAAATATAGAGAGGCTTTTGGATTTCCTTTGTTTGTTTGTTTGTTTGTTGTTTTTTGGACATAATTTAGATCTATATACATATTTAGACATTCCAAAAGACAATTTTTGTCAAGCTTTAGATATTTTTGTTAGATATCAGATTTTGCATTATGATTACAAAGTAAACGTGACAAAAGTCTCCAAGTGTCATTCCTTTCCAACGAAGCTAAGCTAATTTTTAATTCAAATGTAAAATATTTGACTGAGGGTTTTAAAAAGTACGTTTTTCCCTCTGTCGTTTTTTATATTCTTTAGTTTTTCTCAATGCCACGAGGACAAGGCATTACATATTCAAATTATCACATTAACATTAGTTGCCAGAAAATGATAAAGTGATCAACTAAAATATTTGACAAAAATATTACTAAAAAGTTAAAATAAATAATGACATAAATCCAGTTTTTTAAAAGCATTTCTTGTTTTCAGTTTTAGTTTGATCCGAACTATTTCGATATAATTTAAAGTCATTTTTAAAAAGTGAAAAAATGTGGCTTCTTTTTATGAACACTCTAAAAAAAATGCTGGGTTGTTTCAACCCAACATTTGGGTCAAATATGGACAAACCCAAATGTTGGGTTAAAAATGCAATAAAAAATGTACAGTTGAAAGTTGAAGTTGGGTTAAAATTTGAAATAACCCAACATTTGGGTTTGTCCATATTTTACCCAAATTTGTGTTAAAACAACAACCCTGAATTGTTTAGTGTATAGCCTATGGTATTTTTGCTAATAAAATAACTGTGTAATATATTCTTTACATTCCAAAGTGCCATTCTGAGTATAAAAGAGCACATCAAACACACAGTTTTATATCATTTTTCTTCTATTGAAGGTGTAAACAATTAACAGATGTAAAATAGTTTATTTTTCTAGTGCACAGTATTCACAGGGACATGTCAAGCTTAAATCATCGCCTATAAAGCAAGCACAACACGTTTATATAACATCCGATGACGTTGCGCGTCGCTTATGGTTATTGCCGCACATTTGCACCGCAGCATCATCAATATTCCCGATCCTCCGGTCGCTCCAGGATGAGGAAATCGTGCAGCTCGACGCGTCGCATTCGTGACAAACCCACAGAGCAACTGGTGTAGAGAGAGACGTCAGCGCGCGTCAGGGGCGTCCTTGCGTTTGTTTCCCGGAAGGTCAGTCTACTCTGCGCTGGAGACCCGCTGGAAACGAACCGTATACTGTTATTATTCCGCAGAAGCGTGTTTAGCGGAGACATCGACGCGACGCGAGCAGAATGAGTTCCGCGGGGCTGGAGAAGCTGCGGATGACCGGCGCGGGGCGAGCGATCGCCGCACTCACCAGCGGAGGAGACGCACAAGGTGACGCAGGGCCAAAAACACACACACACACTTAGTTATATAGGCAGCGCGTTTGTTCATGTCGTGAGGTTTAGCCTATATAAAACTAGATTTCCACACTGAGATTTACTCTCACCTGTCTGATACACACTTTCTATCAGCTGTTTTTTGAGTTTAACATGCATTGAATGTTCAGGCTGTACTAATTATTCTTGAAGATCTACATAAACTATCCTTGTTGCATATGTTACATGTATTTAATATCAGTAAATTATGCATAATTGCATGCAACTAACCCTCAACCAAACCCTAATCCTACCCTAACCCTTTAGTAGTTGCTCAATATTACTCAGGACTTATTACACTGTAACAATGACACCTTAAAATAAAGTGTAAAGTGTGAGCTACGTCTGTGCAGCTGTACAGTAAGTACAGTATTGGATCTGCCAGATGAACAGTGAATCTCACTGACTGAACCGCTATTTTAAGAATTTTTGTTTTATATTGTGGCTTTACTTCCATATAAATTAAGCACATTTTACCCCCATTTGATATGATGATTGATTATTTATGCCAGACAGGGTTATTATAATTAAATAAAACCATTTTTTTCATGCAAGTAAAAAACGTACATGGTCACTATCTGTGAACCCTATTTACACTAAGTAATTTTAATGTTATTTTGTTAATTTATCTGCAATACATCCTGCTGCTACAGATATTTCCACTCATCATAATTGTTACATTTTTTAAACGATTAATCGCATCCAAAATAAAAGTTTGTGTTTACATAATATATGTGTATGTACTGTGTATAATTATTTTGTGTGTGTGAGTGTAAATATACATATGCATGTATATTTAAGAAAAAATATTAATTATATATAAAATATTTAGATTTATATCTAATCTACATGAAAATATTTCTTAAATATATACTGTATACAAGCATGTGTGTGATAATTATACACAGTACATACACATATATTATGTAAACACAAACTTTTATTTTGGATGCGATTAATCGTTTGACAGCCCTATTACATTTTATATTGCTCATACTTATATTTATACGGTCTTATTTATTTATATTTTCGGAGCCTTGCAACTGTATATTGTGAATGAGCATTAATTAAAACAAACAAGTAGTATTATATTGAATATTATTAAATAATGTTTGAATGAACAGGTTTTGGGGAATCGTGTCAGATGTGCATTTTAGGGATGGGCAACGATTAATCGCATCCAAAATAAAAGTTTGTGTTCACATAATATGTGTGTGTGTGCTGTGTATAATTAATTTGTATATATAAATACCCACACATGTATGTGTATATTTAAGAAAAATGTGTTATTAATATATCAAATATTTATATTTTTATATAATATTAATTATGTTTAAATATATATACATGCAAATATTTCTTAAATATATACATGCATGTGTGGGTATTTATATATACCCACACATGCATGTATATATTTAAGAAATATTTGCATGATCATTAAACTGTTGATTATGAGGATTAAAGGATATGTTCTCCGTCAGGGATGAACGCAGCGATTCGTGCCGTGACCCGGATGGGCATCTATGTGGGCGCCAAGGTGTATCTGGTGTATGAGGTACTGCCGACATCATGCTTTCACGAGTCTGTGATGATAAACACTTGAACTCGTGATATATGAGTATTAATGTGAGGATTAACTTTGATTTCAGGGCTATCAAGGACTGGTGGACGGAGGAGACAACATTAAACTGGCCAACTGGCAAAGTGTCACCAATATCATTCAGCTGGTGAGAGCATCCGACACGCACACACACACACATCCGGTAACATCCAGGCAAAAGTTCATTTATTTCAGTAATTCATCTTAAAAGGTGAAACTAATATATAATTTTGATGATTATGAGTATGGTTTTCAGCTGTAAGTCATCATCAAAATCATAACTTGAAATATCTCACTTTGCATGTAATGAGTCTATATAATATATTAGTTTCAGCTTTTAAGTCGAATTACTGAAATAAATGAACTTTTGCACCATATTCAGATTTTTCAAGTTTCACCTGTGCTCGCTGAGAACATTTGGACCTTAAGACATTCAAACAATTATTATAATATAAGCTCATCTTTCATAAGTATGCGACCGTTCAAAAGTGTGGGCTAAGATTTTAATCATTTATTTTTAATACTTTCATTCAGCAAATATGCAATGATTTCTGCAGGATCATGTCACACTGATGACTGGAGTAATGATGCTACAAATTCAGCTTTAATCACAGGAATAAATCACATTTGACTATATATTCACATTTTAAATTGTAATAATATTTCAAAATCGTTACTGTATCTTTCAAAGAACATAAAAAAATTCACTGACTGTTAAATTATTATTCTAAAAAATATTCTAAACTGATATATATAGCTTTTTTATTTTCTGTTCTCATATTCAATAATTTTGTTATGTGCTTTACTTTTGTCAATTCTATTCGTTGTTATTTAACTTATTTTTTATTTTGGCTTTAATTTATTTAATTTTAGTAGTTTAAACATATTTAAATGAGTTGCCAAGGCAGAATTTCCACTATTTAAGTTTGTCATTAATCTTTATATTTTATTTCAGCTCTATTTGAATGAATGAAAGCGATGCTGTAGTGAACAGTCACAGTGCGGAAGTGAATCAATCAAAAGGAACTTTAGCTGGAAAATATCATTATTCAAGAACCGCTATAAAACCAAACCTGAAATCATATGTTTATCTCTGCTTTGAGACAATCTACATTGTTAAAAGAGCTATATAAATGAGGATGACTTGAGTTGAATACAGGATCTGTCTTGTTGAGTTTCTTCTCTCTCTCTTCTCTCTTCTGTTCTCCGGTTAGGCCGGTCACTGGTAAGCTGTCCTGCTGCATGTGCTTTTCACTCAGCCTGGGAACATAAAGAGATCAAAATAACACAGACAGGGTTAAAGGGTTAGTTCACCCAAAGATGAAAATGATGTCATTAATGGCTCTCCCTCATGTCGTCCCAAGACCTCCGTTCATCTTCATAACACAGTTTAAGATATTTCAGATTTAGCCCGACGGGCTTGGGGCGACATGAGGGTGAGTCATTAATGACATCATTTTGATTATTAGGTGAACTATCCCTTTAAGATCTATACAAGTGCAGTGGTTTGGTCGTGTGAAATGTCCTGTATGCAGTGAGTTATAGTGATTATATTATTATTTACTCAAGATTTCCACCATTCTGTGATCAACTGCATCCATTATTCTTCTTTTCAACATAATCCAGTTGGAAAGTGTTTATGGAGACGGTTCATCATTTATTCCCCGCGTGTGACCTCAAACGCTTATGCTGTTAGTGTGTCAGTGAATCTTCACTAAACCTTCGTCTCATTTGCAGTCCCGTTTGTTGATGTCAGAGCTGCTGAAGTGCTTTGAGCATCTTGTTTAACTTGTAATATAGTGCATGAGTCACATGGGCTCGGGTACTTTAGTGGTGTTTTATGAAAACTTGCTGCACGCATGCATGTAGACTAGTCTAGGGGTGTAACGATCCTTCATGTCACAATTCGATACATATCACGATACTGAACTCACAATACGATATTTTTGCGATACTCCAAGACATATGATAAAAGGTTAAAGATTAAAATGCTTACTTTGATATTACATTGTGTGTGTACAGTAAATGAATAGTAAACCCAAAGCAGGACAATAGAGACACCAGAATAACAATATTTTCATGATTCTGAAGCTGAAAAAACACAATTATTTTTGACGAACATGCTTTCACTCTGTCTACTTGTATTTAAAATTATGTAAGCCATTTTTTTTACTGGCATTTGGCATTATCAGGACACATAAATACTCCCCATTGCATTATTATACATTATATTCAACATTATATATAGTAGTTTAATGTAGTACTGACACTAAACTCTCAGTAATTTTCATTTTGGATGAACTATACACACTACAGATATTCACTACCCACGATATATATAGTTGCATTTTTGTATTGTGACACGATATATTATTACACCCCTACTGTGTTTAATAACGGCTTATAGCTTTGGAAAGACATGCAGGAATTAGAGTGTTTACATTCTCTGGGTGAACAGTTTTAACTTCTGAATGCATTCGGTAAGTTTGTGTGTGTGCGTGAGCTCAATAAACCCTGTCTGCGCTGACGGCTGCTCACGTCTCTTTTAAAGGGATAGTTCACTTTGAAATTAATGTTTGGTATGTTTTAGTTTACCTCAAGGGCATCCAAGATGTAGAAGTCTTTGTTTTCACAGTAGTTTTTTAATTTTGATATTTTTAGGTAAAAAAAAATATAATGGAGGTCTATGGTCACCACCTCAAAGAGCGTGCACAGAGAAGTCCAAATTAAACATGATTTAATGACTCGTAAATGTAAGCACACATTGATGGCCTAAGACACGAAACGAGCGGTTTGTGTGAGAAAACGAACAGTATTTATATCGTTTTTACATCTTGTAACCACAAGATCACTTGGACGTGGCTGTGATTACAAGAGGTAAAAACGATATAAATACAGTTCGTTTTCTCACACAAACCGCTCGTTTCGTGCCTTAGGCCATCAATGTGTACTTACATTTACGAGTCATTAAATCATGTTTAATTTGGACTTCTCTGTGCACGCTCTTTGAGGTGGTGACCATAGACCTCCATTATATTTTTATGACCTAAAAATATCAAAATTGAAACTACTGTGAAAACAAAGACTTCTACATCTTGGATGCCCTTGAGGTAAGCTAAAACATACCAAACATTAATTTCAAAGTGAACTATCCCTTTAAAGCTGAGATGCACGTGACTGTTCTGGCGCGGCGCTGACGTGCATCTATGCCTGTGCTGAAGCATTGCACATAATAACTCTCTGATTAAGACATCAGACGTAACCTCAGTGTTGTCGTCCACAGGGAGGGACGGTGATCGGCAGCGCCCGCTGTAAGGCCTTCACCACGCGCGAGGGACGCTTAGCGGCGGCCTTTAACCTGGTGAAGCGTGGCATCTGTAACCTGTGTGTGTGTGGCGGAGACGGCAGCCTGACCGGAGCACACATCTTCCGCTCGGAGTGGAGCGGACTCCTGCAGGAGCTGGTGGAGAAAGGTACCGAACACACACCAGCATGTGGAAAACACATTATATGCTATTTCCTTATGGACATTTTTGTCCTTTTCAGTTTTGTTTTTTTGATCACTTTGCCTGTGTTAAAGCTAACTGCAAAAAACTTGGCACAGGTGTGTATTTTTATTGGAATTTTACTATTTCACGGTCATTTTTTTTGCATTAGGTACAAAAAATACTCCCTCTCAGCATCTTTTGGACAAAAATGTCCCTATTGAAACCCATTAAAACTGCCATTTTTAATCCCCGGTTCAGTTAACTATAAAATTATGCAATCTTTGTTAAGAGGCTTTCATTCTGATGGCAAGGCTTCATTTTTGTATCAGATGGTGCCATTTTTTTTTTTAAGTTTGGCCTATAAAACAAATATCGCTTTATTCCTGTTTTCTGGTTCGGCATATTATAGAGCCAACTGGATAAATTATGCAATGATATTTGTGTGGGTGTGTTGGTATGGATGTCAGAGTGTGGTTAGTATGTGTGTTATAAAAAAATATGTGTTTGTTTGTAATACTGAGAGAGAAAAACTCCAATCACTGTGAGCTCCAGTGGGGTTTTGCTGGCACCCAATGGGGAAAATATGTTACTACGCCCAAACAAACTGTTACCGAAAGCTCATTTTTTGAGATATCATCCTCAAATTTGGAATACAACCTATTTAGATTTATGGCTTTGATTTTATTGCAGTTTTGAGTTCAACCTGATTTATTTTTTATAAATAATTTTCATAAACTTATACCTACAGTATATAACTTTTTTTGGATTTACTTATTATTTTTACTTCAGCAATAATCTGCACAGGGTCTTCTTTAAAATGATACCAAACTTAAGTCTGTGCTCCAAAGCGTCACATTTTTATGACAGTTTTTTGACATGGACATTTTTGTCCTCTTTTTACCTATGTGTAACTTTTTTTAATTGATCCTCAAGGGTTAAGAAACAGAATGGCAACAATAACGACTTTATACCCCTAAAAAAATAGGGATGTGTGAGACAGGTGAAACTCGAAAAATTTGAATAACGTGCAAAAGTTCGTTTAGTTCAGTAATTCAACTTAATATATTATATAGACTCATTACATGCAAAGTGAGATATTTCAAGCCTTTATTTGTTATAATTTTGATGATTATGGCTTATTATAACACAATATTCTGATTTTGAATTTGGGGTTTTCATAAGCTGTAATCCATAATCATCAAAATGATAACAAATAAAGGCTTGAAATATCTCACTTTGCATGTAATGAGTCTATATAATATATTAGTTTCAAGATGAATTACTAAAAAATAATTCACCATATTCTAATATTTCAAGTTTCACCTGTATGTATTAGCCAACATGTGTTCAGTTTTACTATTGTTATCTGCCCGATAAGAACATTTGGCTAATATATTATATTGTTTCCCTCAGCTGAGACACTTGATGGCTTTGAATTGCTTGAAATATGATTGAATCACTTCAAAAAATAAAATATGAATAGTGTGTCTTAAAGGCTACATAACATTATAATGAGAACATTGTAGTTGTGTGTTTGGGACATGGATTTTAATGGTGAGACTTCTGTTTTTGAAATCAGGCTCATACATATTATATAAAAACCTTTTTATTTCGATTTTACGATTTGGATTTATCGACCAATATATTGGTTATTGGCTTTCAAATAAAAATATTTATTGGTTTCCAGCAAACTCTTCCTATGCATCTCCCTAAACAGACGTATTGTAAGGTCATGAAAGCTGACTCAAGCTCATGAATGATCAGTCGAATGATAAGTCACCTCAGGATAAGAATCATAAATCTTTATGACTCATCAGTGTTCAGGAAACCATTTTGAAATTGTCGTTTCTCAAGATCCAAACTACTCATAATGTAAAGTTCAGCTACACTCAGCTAGTTACTGCTACAAGTTACTCGCAAAAAGTTGTTCCTTATTTTCATATTAATATATCTTCTTTACGTAGCGTCGAGGTTATAATTAATAATTAAACCTAAAACTATTAAAGTTCTCCAATTATTTTATATCTTAAAACTCATCTTTGATCACCAAAATGACATTTAAATTGAAAAAAAAAATGTCTTCATGAATGTAACTCGACACCTTTGCCTCATTTAGTATTCCCGGTTCTATGAATATGCAAATGAGCCCCGCCTCCACTCATTCACACAGCTCAGAGATCCACTGGTTGATCTGATTGGTTACAAGGTGGTTTGTGATGTCAGAGACACCAAAGCGCGTTTTTGAGACTGTCTTTGGTTCACTGCAGTTTTAAGGAGGAAATACTCAGCAATGCTGTCCACTTATCAACTTACACACGATTAAAAACACCACATACACACACATAAACAACATTAAAAACTGGATTTTCATCACAGGAGAACAACACATTTCTGTTAAGTGAAATAAAGCTGGAAAAAAATAAATATTGGTTGAAAAACTTAAACTGAAAACTGAAATTAGCTTAAATTAAAGACTCAAGTTATTAACTGAAAATAAATGAAAACTAAAACTGAAGTAAATTAAACCTAAATATTAAAAACAAAAAAACGAATAAAATGACAAAAGCACATAATGAAATGACTACAAATGCAACTGAAGTTAACATGAAAACTAAAAATATAAAAGTAATTCAAAATATTAATAAAACTAAAATAAAAACTGGCATTTTAAAATTGTATAGTCACAACTGATAACAGACTCTAAACTGTAATATGGACTCGTGCATTTTCTGTAAAAAATAAAATAAAATAACATTAAATGCTACCGATCTAAGTCGAAAACACTTATTGAAAATGTTGATGAACGGCAGCATTCTGATTAATATTTTGCCACAACAGGAAGTGTGTGGATGGTTGTGAAGTATATTTCCTGATGGACAGGTCGGATCACGGCAGAGACGGCCCGTCAGCACGGGCACCTGAACATCGTGGGTCTGGTGGGGTCCATCGATAATGACTTCTGCGGAACCGACATGACCATCGGCGCTGACTCGGCCCTCAACCGCATCACTGAGATCATCGACGCCATCACCACCACCGCCACCAGGTCCAGCATCACAACTATACACACACATTTACAAACACACCAGAAAAATGACCAAAACTTTCAATAAATTAAAAATAAATGTTGGCTAAGATAATATAAAGTATATATAAAATATAATTAATTTTAAATATAAAATATAAACTTTTTAATTTTGTTAAATTGCTAAATTTAAAACTGAATAAGAATTTTTTAAAACTATTTACACGTATTTAAAAAAAACTACTAAAATGACAGAAAAACAACAAAATTAACTAAAACTTTAACTGAAATTAAAATGGAAAATATAAAAATAAACGTTAACTAAAATAAAGTATTAAGTTTAACTTGATGTAATAAAATAAAAATCTAAAACTCAAGTAAAAAATATATACACATAAAATGACAAAAATGCTAAACAAAATGACTAAAACTTTAACTAAAATTAAAACAAAAATGTACAGTATAAAAATAAACATTAACAAAAATAAAATGTAAGTAAACGTTTTTATTTTAGTTTAACTTGATGTACTAATAACAATGTGAAACTGAAATAAAAATGAATACAAACTATATAGACATTTTTAAAAAACAACAAAATTACTAAAACTTTAACTGAAATTTAAAAAAATTAATTTTAAAATTTAACTTTATACTGTAGTAAAACAACTAAATGTAAAACTGAAAAAAGAAAAGAAAAACATATATTATTTTTTTTATTTACTTATTTTTTTTAAACTTGATTTACTTAAAATAACTAAAATAAACGATATAGGCATATTAAAAACAAAAACAAAAAAAATGTCAAAAACACAACAAAATGACTAAATATTTAACTAAAATTAAAATCAGAATGGAATCTTAAAATAAAAGCTAATTCAAAATATGAATAAAAACTCTAATTGTATCTCCAGGCTCCTCAAATGCCACTGGCTGAGACATACAGTGGTAGATGAGGAAATATAATGAGTGGGAGATTGAGACTGACGATGATTTCCTGTTGTTTGTTCAGGAACGCACTGAATGTGTGGAATTCTCGTCTTGTCTCGCCTCGCCTCGTCCCTCTTGTTCTCACACACACACACACACACACACACACACTGTTTTCAGCATTATACAGTTGCGCGTAGGCAGATGTACATACATTAAGACAAGTTTTCACAAGTTTTGATGTGCTCACTCTGTTATTGATCTTTTTTCCAGCCATCAGCGCACGTTTGTGCTGGAGGTCATGGGTCGCCACTGCGGGTGAGTTTTCTCTGCGTCACACACACACACACACACACACACAAGATCATGGGAAAATAACAAACATGTTTACATTGAGATTATGTTTACGCTCTAGCAACCAGCCAGAACATCTTGGCAACCACCCAAACATTCTAACAGTGCCCTATAGCAACCACACAAAACGTCTTGGCAACCACCCAACCATTCTAACAGTGCCTTAGCAACCACACAAAACATCCTGGCAACCACCCAAACATTCTTACAGTGCCTTAGCAACCACCCAACATTCCAAAAGTGCCCCAACAACCACCCAGAACATCCTGGCGACCACCCGAACATTCTAACAGTGCCTTAGCAACCACACAGAACATCTTGGAAACCACCCAAACATTCCAACAGTGCCCTAGCAACCACCCAGAACATCCTTGCAACTACCCAAACATTCTAACAGCGCCTTAGCAACCACACGAAACATCCTGGCAACCCCCCAAACATTCTAACAGTGCCCATAGCAACCACCCAGAACATCTTGGCAACCACCCAAACATTTTTACAGTGCCTTAGAAACCACCTAGAACATCCTGGCAACCACCCAAACATTCTAACTGTGCCCTAGCAACCACCCAAACATTCTAACAGTGCCCTATAGCAACCACACAAAACGTCTTGGCAACCACCCAACCATTCTAACAGTGCCTTAGCAACCACACAAAACATCCTGGCAACCACCCAAACATTCTTACAGTGCCTTAGCAACCACCCAACATTCCAAAAGTGCCCCAACAACCACCCAGAACATCCTGGCGACCACCCGAACATTCTAACAGTGCCTTAGAAACCACCTAGAACATCCTGGCAACCACCCAAACATTCTAACAGTGCCCTAGCAACCACCCAGAACATCCTTGCAACTACCCAAACATTCTAACAGCGCCTTAGCAACCACACGAAACATCCTGGCAACCCCCCAAACATTCCAACAGTGCCAGTAGCAACCACCCAGAACATCTTGGCAACCACCCAAACATTTTAACAGTGCCTTAGAAACCACCTAGAACATCCTGGGAACCACCCAAACATTCTAACTGTGCCTTAGCAACCACATAAAACATCCTGGCAACCACCCAAACATTCTAACAGTGCCTTAGCAACCACCCAGAACTTATTGGCAACAGTTATTTTCAGCATTATTTATATAATATTGCAGTATTTATTAACATTTTTTAATACTGCTTATTTTCTGTTTTAGTTTGCTGTTTTTTTCACTTTACTAGTTTGTTTTTTCAGGTTTATTAATTTTGGTACTTCAAATTATATTTCTATAAACTTATATTTCTGTGAGTTGCCATGGCAACATTTCTAATTTACCTCAAAGGTTAAGTTTTATAAATACTTTTCTTTTTAATTTTAGTTAATTTTTTTTTCTTTTTTTCTTTTTCTTTTTTTTTATCAAAAAAAAGACAAAAATTGTCATTTTTTGTCATTTCTGTCCTTTTAAGTAGTTTTTAAAAAATATATATCTGTATATTATTAATTTTCATTTCAGTTTTAGATATTCTACTGCATTTAAATGCTCTGCTGTTTATTTAATCATTGTCCAAAAATGAAAATTCTGCCATGATTTACTCCTCCTGACAGGTTTGGATGAGGTTGAGATAATAATGTCAGTATTTTAGTCCTGTGTCTCAGAGTGTTTGGTGTGGTTATGGATATGACAGTATTGGTATGTTTAGTCTTGATGGAGCAGATCTGCTGTGAGCGAGTGAGAGATCCTCCAGCAGGCATGAGTTACCCGTAGCAGATCTAGACGGGTGGCGATCTAGCACTGACCTGACACTGCTCTCCCGCAGGTATCTAGCGCTGGTGTCAGCTCTGGCGTCTGGAGCCGATTGGCTGTTCATCCCTGAAGCTCCTCCTGAGGACGGCTGGGAAGAGCTCATGTGCGCTCGACTGGGAGAGGTGAGCTCCTTTATAGACCATTAAACACACTGGTGGAGCACAAATGATGCCATTAAGTAAGTTTATTCCAATAATAATCATGAAAATAACACCACTCTTATAACTTATTAATGGTATATGATTCATAAGAGTTATAAGAGCAGTGTTATTTTCATGATTATTTGGAATTAACTTTTATTTTTAGCAACTCTTTATTTTACAATGTATTTACCGTAGTAATAACAGTAAATTATGCATAATTACATGCAACCAAATCCTACCCTAACCCAATAGTTAAGTACATAGTTGCTTAATATTACATACTCAGTACTTACACTGTAACAATGACACCTTAAAATAAAGTGTAACCCTTACACTTTTATATTATCAGTTTTGTTTTAATTTTAGTTTAAGCATTATACATTTTGTTATGAGCTTTTTTAATTATGCATTTTTTATTATAAAGCTTTGAATTATTTTTATTTAATTTTTAGTGATTTTAGTAAACATTCGATTTTTCATCTATTTCAGTATTTTATTTTATTACATGGCCCTCTGAACTGCTTGACTCTGATTGAGGTCAGAGATTCCCCAATAGAGTGCATTAGATACCAACAGCCCAGTTTTACTTCCACATGATGTTAACACTGGACTGCTGGATGTGTTTGCTCAGAGCCGCAGTAAAGGATCCAGACTGAACATTATCATCATCGCTGAAGGAGCCATCAGCAGAAGCGGTGAGGCCATCACCTCCAACTACATCAAAGACGTGAGTGAAGCTCTTCAGCTCTTTCTGGGTGAATTATCCCTTTAAAGTAATTTTTTAGTACACGCTAATTCAATTCCCATTGATAGGTATTATTTAGACCTCCTTTAGTTTTTTCATAAAATGAAATTGAAAGACATAATTCGCGCATGGCATGGAGGGGCATAAAAACTATCATAGGTCAAAACCACCACTCTAATACTATGGTACATTCAGTCGAGCAAGCAAATGCCATGAATGATCACTTTGCACGATGGGAGAATGCTGTGCCAGCAAATCCAATCAGCCTTGAAGGAAGTGCAAGTGCCTCAATCAGGGTAAGCTGTGAGGAAGTGGGGAGGATCTTCTCCCACATCAAGATTCGGAAAGCTGCTGGCCCGGACAGGCTGGAAGGCACTATCCTTAAGAGCTGTAAAGAACAATTGAGCCCAGTGTTCAGAGGGTTGTATCAGAAATCACTCGACACACACAAAGTCCCAAATATTTAGAAACTCAAACCAGATGGACAGAATGATTTTAGACCAGTAGCACTTACTTCAGTTGCTATGAAATGCTTTGAGCGGATCATTTTAACTCATCTTAAAGAACAAACCAAAAAACACATGGATACATTACAGTTTGCCTATAAAGAGAAAAGAGGTGTGGAAGATGCAGTAGCAACGCTCCTAAATGGAATTTATAAACATCTTGAAACCAACACTTATGGGTGTAAACCTTAATCTGGTAAAGTGGATTCAGGACTTTTTAACAGGCAGACTACAATTTGTAAGAGCGGGTCATAGCCAGTCAAAAATCATTACGACAAATATAGGATTGCCACAAGGATGTGTTTTGTCACCATTGTTATTTATTCTGCATACAAATGATTGTGTCAGCCATCATTCCAAATGCTCATTGATTCAATTTGCAGATGATGTTGCCTTGGTTGGGCTTTTAACAGATAATGATCAGGACTATAGATCTGAGATTGACCAATTTTATGAATGGTGTTGTGGAAATTCACTATTTTTAAACATTTCAAAAACAAAAGAAATGGTCATAGATTTTAGAAAAAAGCCCCTTCCATTGCAACCGGTTACTATTAATGAGATAGTTATTGAGACTGTGAATGAGTATAAGTACTTGGGTACCATTATTGATCATAAACTCACTTGGTCGGCGAACACATTAGCAAGATACTCAAAAGCACAGCAACGGCTCTTTTTTTTAAGAAAATTGCGCAGTTTTAATGCAGAGAATAGTACCCTGACACTGTTCTATTTGACTTTTATTCAGAGTGTAGTTACTTTTGCAATCCAGTGTTGGGGGGGAGGTCTTTCTATCCAGAATAGGAACATGCTGGATAAGGTGACAAAAATGGGTAGGAGAATCACTAGATCTGATGTGAAAAGCGTCACAAATCTTACTGACCAGTATACCCTCAAGTTGGCACTGAGGATTCTGGAGGATCCATTGCACCCACTTCACACAGAATTTTCCCACCTCCCCTCTGGACGTAGATTTAGAATGCCCCGAACTAAAACTAAACGACACATCACTTCATTTGTGCCGAGGAGCATTCAACTACTTAACGAATCATCCATGGGCACATAGATTGATTTTGAATGTGCATTATTGAATATACATCTATTTATTGATTCTTTTAAGCTGCGGAATATTTTAGAGTTGTCAAATTGATATATTCCATGTCACTTTTGTCTTTATTCTTCTTTATTTATGTTTAGTTTATGTTTTTGTGGTTATGTTTATTATGGTTCCCATGAGTGTAAAACAAATTCCCCTTTGGGGCAATAAAGGTTTCATTCATTCAACTTAACTTTTTTCAAGGAATAAGTCAGAATTGAATTGTGAGATGAAAAGTCACAATTACCTCTTTTTGTTTTTTATTCAGTGGTGGAAAGAAGTGTCCACAGTCTTCTGATAAAAAATCTTCGATAGAGACATTTTAAAGCTGGAATTTAAAGGAGTAGTTCACTTTAAAAAAAAAAAAAAAACTTCTGCTGATAATTTCCTCACCCCCATGTCATCCAAGATGTCCATGTCTTTCTGTCTTCAGTTGAAAAGAAATTAAGGTTTTTGATGAAAACATTCCAGGATTTTCTCCATATAATGGACTTCAATGGGGTCCAAACGGTTCAAGGTCCAAATGAGAGTTTCAGTGCAGCTTCAAAGGGCTTTAAACGACACCAGACGATGAATAAGGATCTTATCAAGCAAAACGATCGCTCATTAAAAAAATTAATAAAAAAGTTTAAGTTTTATAAGCACAAATGCTCGCCTTGCTCTGTTCTGATGCACGTTCGTGACTCTCCTGTTTCATTTTATAAGCATTTGTGCTTATAAAACTTAAACTTTCGATCATTTCGCTTGATGAGACCCTTATTCATCGTCTGGAATCGTTTAAAGCCCTTTGAACAGTTTGTAGTTTGCACTGAAACTCTCATTTGGACCTTGAACCGTTTGGTCCCCATTGAAGTCCATTATATGGAGAAAATCCTGGAATGTTTTCATCAAAAACCTTAATTTCTTTTCGACTGAAGAAAGAAAGACATGGACATCTTGGATGACATGGGGGTGAGGAAATTATCAGCAAAAGTTTTTTTAATTTGAACTACTCCTTTTCATAAATTGAAAAGTTGTGCAACACTGTTATTTTCTACTTTTAGGGATATTGTGTGTATAAAGCTCCATAGAAATAAGTGTGGAGAAAAAAGAGACCAATAAAATCAGTATCAGCAGCTCTTGACCAATCAGTGTATTAATGACCATGTGATTTTTGTCCCAGCTGGTCGTGTCTCGTCTGGGTTATGACACTCGGGTCACCGTTCTGGGTCACGTCCAGAGGGGCGGGACGCCCTCAGCCTTCGACAGAGTTCTGGTAAATAAACACTTTCAATTAAAGGTGGACTGTGTAATATTTGGGAGGATCTGTTGACAGAACCGCAATATCACATCCATAACTATGTCTTCAGTGGTGTATAAAGACCATGAACCATTGTGTTTTTATTACCTTAGAATGAGCCGTTTCTCTCTACAGACGTGTTTCTACAGTGGCCCTGAGCGGACAAATGCGTTTTTGTGTTGTTGCTCTAGCCAGCGGATAAAACACAAACACAATGATGAACAAGTTACAATAATATCGTTTTACTGAATAATTAAGTTACGCCACCGTAACGTCTGTTGGGTGTGATGCACAACATCACCACTAGATGTCGTTAAATATCCCACAGTGCACCTTTAACCCCCAACATTAGTTTTGAGTGGTGCTGTTGATGTCTGGTGTGTAGAGCAGTAAGATGGGTGTCGAGGCCGTGGTGGCCCTGCTGGAGGCGGGACCGGACACGCCCGCCTGTGTGATCGGCCTATCAGGGAACCAGGCCGTGCGTCTCCCCCTCATGGAGGCCGTGGAGATGGTGAGTCTATATATATATTATGTATAACATGTTGTATAAATCAGGCGAATATTAAAGATAAAGATTGAAATCGAAATCTGTAAAGACAAATAAAATGTAATAAAATAAACACTTGAATGTGTATTTTGGATGTTATGGAAGCAAAATAGCCCAAAATCTCAACATTAACCACAATAGTTTAGTCAATTGGTCGATTTATCTCTCTTTCTCACAGACTAAGGAGGTTCAGAGGGCCATGAACGAGAAGCGCTTTGACGAAGCCATCCAGTTACGGGGCAGGTGAGAAGTGTTGTCCCTGCTGAGGTCAAAGTTTGAGTGACTGATCTCCATACAAGCGAGTAATAATGAATCTAATGATACTGTTTACAGGAGTTTTGAGAACAACTGGAGCATTTATAAGTTGCTGGCGTATCACAAACCTGCTGCGGTCCAGGTAACACACGAGCACTAACTCTCATTTTACAGCATTATGTATAAAACTGTAAACTTTGACATTTAAGTCATTTTTGCCGTTGGTACTTATACATTTTTATTGTAGCTAAGATATCAGGGCTTATAATGCATCATAAAATCCTAATCTTAAAGTCAAGTCAGCTTTATTTCTATAGCGCTTTATGCAATACGGGATGGACAACGATTAATCGCATCCAAAATAAAAGTTTGTGTTTACATAATATATGTGTGTGTAGTGTGTATAATTAATTTGTATATATAAATACCCACACATGCATGTATATATTTAAGAAATATGTGCATGTATATATTTTATATAGATTTATTCACAATTAATATTATATATAAATATAAATATTTGATATATTAATAACACATTTTTCTTAAATATATACATGCATGTGTGGGTATTTATATATACAAATTAATCATACACACTACACACAAATATTATGTAAACACAAACTTTTATTTTGGATGCCCATCCCTAATGCAAACATCAAATATTAGACAGCCAAACTCTCTAAAACGACACAAGTGTCTCTATCTATAAGTGTGTCTTACTGTTACAGCGTTTTTTTTACCAATATTTTTGAATAATTTAATTTAAAAAGCACATATCCTCCATTAGAAGGAAAGGTTCTATATAGAACCTTTAAAAGGTTCTAAAGCGCTACATATTTGGAACCCCTAAAATGCAATGCATGTGAATGATCACAAAATTCAAGATATGTGGGTTAAAAAATGTAATTAATCAATATCACACGAAGAGTGCCATTTCAGTTTTTATCCTCCAAAATCAGCATGATTAAAATGTGATATTAAGTTACAACAGTTTATGAAACAATAATTTAATTACATGCTACAAAATGTTGCAGAATAATGTAATATATGAACGAATAATAACCTTTGTGCCAAAAGGGTTCTTTCTTCTCATTTTTTAGCATAAAATGTCCTTTGGAGTTGAGTAAAGAACCCTATGCTACACGTATAGAAAACCTTTTTCCTAAGAGTGTGTTATTGGTGCTCGGTGGTTTAGTTATGTGTTGTTTCATTATATCCCAGTGTCATGTTATTAATCTTGATCTCAGAGCAACCACTCGATGGCCATCCTGAACGTGGGCGCTCCAGCCGCCGGCATGAACGCTGCGGTGAGGTCAGCGGTGAGGGTCTGTCTGGCCTCGGGACACCGGGTTTACTTCGTCAGCGATGGATTTGAGGGTCTGGCCAATGGAGCGGTGAAGAACCATGCATGCCAATCACTTCTTTAATGATCTAGAGATGAAGTTCGTGTGTTCATGTCCTCGTATAGTGATGCTGGAAACACCACGGGCATCATGTGTGCTTCAGTGTGTGTGTAGTAGATGAAACTGATTCACAAAGAGACACACAAACTTTATATTTAACCCTTGTGCATCAATTAAAAAAGGTCCACAGTGGACAAAAACGTCTGTAAAAAACGTCATCAAATTTTGACTCTTGGGAGCGCAGACTTCTCATTTGTGAAACTACACTCTGATTTATTTTTACAATATTTTATATAAAATATTTATTTTATGAAACATGTTTAACTCTAAAACTGAAAGTCATAAATCGAAACAAACCAAATTTGATGTTGATATCTCAAAAAATGAGCTTTCAGTAAGATTTTGTTTGGGTACCGTACACATATTTTTTTTATTACACGCATACAAACCACACTCCACACCCACACAATTATAGCTTTTATAACATAACGCAATTATAACATTTTGAAGCCTTGCCAACAGAATGAAAGCCTCTTAACAAAGATTGCATCATTTTATAGTTAAATCGCCCTAGGATTAAAAATCGCAGTTTTAATGGGTTTCAATGGGGACATTGATTCAAATTCAGTGGGGACTTTTATTTTGCGTACCTACTGTAGTACAGCTTAGATTTATTAAAGGAAATTAGGGTGAAATAGTAAAATTCCAATTAAAATACACACCTGTGCCAAATGTTATGCAGTTGTCATTAACAAAATTATTTGAAAAAATCCCATTTTTATGACTATGATAGGTCTCTAAAATGACAAAAAAGAAGACCAATGATCCTATTATCCATATTTCCCAAATTCATACAACAAAGGAGTGCAATCCATATTAACATAAACAATAAGATCAAAAATATAAAAGGGGTTTAGTATAATCTCTTTTGTTATAATTATATTAATACTAATGAAATCGTAACTGTTTTTTTAGATAAATGAAGTGTCGTGGAATCAGGTGGCCGGCTGGACGGGTCAGGGCGGCTCTCTGCTGGGAACTAAACGGTCAGTCACCTTAAAAAAACATTTTTCACTGGCTAATTTGACTAATTTAATGGCAGCTTTGTGACCCTCCATGTTCTCCAGAACCCTGCCCAGCTCCTGCATGGAGAAACTGGTGGAGAACCTCAACAAGTTCAACATCCAGTCACTGCTCATCGTCGGAGGTTTTGAGGTACAGACCAAACTAATAGACCTGACACTTTTCCATCTAGTGTGTTTCTTTGTTTGCTTGCTTTTTCAACAACCACAACTTTTTGTAGTAATATTGTACTTTGTGTTTTTTATTTGATTTTTTTGGACTCAAACATTACTTTATTTTCCTCTACAGTTACTTTTTTTTTTTCAGACATACACACAAACCAACATAGTGCAGTAGTGAGAAATCTTGTAAATCCATAATTCCAGAAGTGACAAGAGTGATTAAAGTGTTTGATCTAAGTGTGTATGTGAGCGGGTGTGAGTATGTGTGAGTGTATGTGTACGCGTAAACAAAGTAACAATTTATTATTTATTACCATTGTCATTACCACCACCACCCCATTTTTTATATATATAGGTATATTTGTATATTTCTTATTTTTATTTCGGTACCTTTATGTTTATATGATTTTAAAATATTCCTTTTGTGTTCATTCAGTAAAAATGTAAATTTGTTGCCTTTTTTATACTAGTGCTGATTTTGCAGTATGTACTTTGTAACAATAGCTGTACTATTCAGATTACGGGGGGCAAAAAAAATGATTATTTTATTTTGATCTCTTTTGAATAAAATTTGGAGATAAAATTTGAATATTTTTGCTGTATCCCCCAGCCCTATCTCCAACCTAACCTGTAGTATCTTCCATGAAACGCAAAATGAAGTCAAAACAAGAAAAAAATCTCACTTTATGATATCTGACTGTACTTTGTGTCGTGTCCAGGCGTATGAGGGCGTACTGGAGCTGGTTGAAGCGAGGGGCCGTTATGATGAATTATGTATTCCCATGTGCATCATCCCTGCCACCATCAGCAACAACGTCCCGGGCACTGAGTTCAGTCTGGGCAGCGACACTGCGGTAAATGCAGCGATGGCCGTAAGTACAGGACTCACATAAACTCTAGGGCTGCGTCCGAACCCGCTCATGTGTTCACTCATTCACTAATCCCTATATAGTGTGTTGGAGCCATTATTTTGAATTGTATTTTTTGTTTGTGACACTAGAGGGCGTATTAGTATTTTGAGTATATTTAAGTGGGGTGATAACGAGTAACAGGTGCGCTGACGGAAGGTCAAACAAACTTTTTGACCGTGCTGTGCTATGTGGAGAGTGGAATTGTGCTCATGCCTGTATGTTTGAATCACAATTTTTGGTTTAGTGTTTTATTTTAGTTTTATTTTGTTGTTTGCAAAGCCAAAATGGACAATAAAAGGATTTGGCTTATCAGAAATTGAATCTGAAGGTATGGACATTTATTTATTTGAGTCAAAAAATAAGCACGCGTCAGAAACAGACAATGAAACCATCTGCGTCAGTACATAGTGTATGGCATTTGAGTGCACTATATCTGCAAGGAGTGAATGAAATGAAATGAAATGAAATGAAGTGAATTCGGACGCTGACGTTTACACTGTGCGTCGGAGAGCTGTCACACGTAGTGATAAAACTCCTTTTATCTTACGTTACTTACTTTATAAAATAATATTAATAACAATTATAATGACTTTATTTTGTAATTATATATACCTCCGTGCCGATCGGAATTGTTAGAAACTCACGATTACATTTAACGAATATTTTTAAATCATCCACCAAATGAACATCCCTTCCTTACAGTTTAACGAATTAACAACAATGCCACAAATTATTAAAACACCTGGCTTATAGTAAAACACATTATATTGATTTAATGCTTAAATAATATATTTTAATAAAAAAAATTATGATATAATTTTAACATTCGTCTATATAATATTTTCTCAATATTTTAATGTTTTATTGGTAACACTTTACAATAAGGTTCATTAGTTAATGTATTTACTAACATGCACTAACCATGAGCAATACATTTGTTACTGCATTTGTTCATCTTTGTTAATGTTAGTTCATGAAAATACAGCTGTTCATTGTTTGTTCATGTTAGTTCACGGTGCATTAACTAATGTTAACAAGATTTTAATCAAGTCTTAGTAAATGTTGAAAATAACATTAACAAAGATTAACAAATGCTGTATATGTGCTAATCATTATTAGTTCATATTAACTAATGCAGTTAACTAATGTTAACTAACGAACCTTATTGTAAAGTGTTACCGTTTTATTCAAGTAATGATTAATAAGAAAAAAGGTAGAAAAAAAGCTGTAATTTCGTTTGCACTTAGTCCTCTACGCGTTCGATTCTGCAGCTTATGAAAACCCCGGCAGGTTTTCATGTTAGTTTTCATGTTAGTGATAATCATCAAAATTACAACAAATAAAGGCTTGAAATATCTCACTGTGCATGTAATGAGTCTATATAATATATTAGTTTCACCTTTTAAGTTGAATTACTGAAATAATTGAACTTTTGCACCATATTCTAATTTTTCGAGTTTCACCTGTGTGTGTTCTGGCTTGCAACTTCAAGGTCATGGGTTTGATTCCCAAGGAATGCATGAACCGATACTGTATATGAAATCGATTTGGGTAAAACCATCAATGTGAAATTTAAATATAAATGTATTTTTATGCTTATCAGAGTTTTGAAACCAAGCTTGTATCTGAAAAGCTTGTACACCTGCCAAATTGGACTCCTTATATACAGAAACTATACATAAAGATGCCGTTTGCCTGCATTCGCTGTGCCGTTTGTGATGTGAAGCTGGTCTGTGTTTCACGAAGAGCTGTGATAAGATCAAGCAGTCGGCCACGGGCACCAAGAGGAGAGTGTTTGTGGTGGAGACTATGGGGGGATTCTGTGGTTATCTGGCAACCACCACAGGCATCGCTGTCGGAGCGGACGCCGCGTACATCTTCGAAGATCCTTTCAACATCCATGACCTCAAAGTAAGGCTGTGCGATACATGTCGTCTATGATAGTATCATAATTATTGCACAACAGGCATGGCATAATCATCAGTATAACATTTCCCAACGCTCCACATCTACACATGGAAGAATAAACTCTGTTTTGATGTTGGTGTGTCACGTCTTTTAGACCAATGTGGAGCATTTGACGGAGAAAATGAAGAATGACATTCAGAGAGGTCTGGTGCTGAGGTAATGAGTCACAACACAGTTTTGGCCTGCGACACATACGCCACATTTTAGGTTCCTAAATTATCTTACAATAATCTAAACTATTGGAATATAATCATAAATAATCATTTATGATGTATGAAAAAAGAGCCCCGATTGCAGCAACTTTTTTGGACATTTTTATGACGGATATTTCGGGGGACTATTTTGTTCACTTGAACATGAAATTGCACACACGCATAACAGACATCTAGCAAATATTCACACAATTGTTTGCTGTTGATTTAAATTTTCAACTGCGTTTCTCAGAATTGGCTTAGGCCGCGTGTCCACCAAAGCTCACGCGGCTGGCGTATTTTTTCAATTGTTTTCAAAGGGAGCGCCGCGATTTTAAAACGCCATGAGCGTAACGAGGCGCTGAGTTTTTTTTTTTCTGAGCGTTCGCCGTTTTTAAGGTCTGCGAGAGTTGAAGAATGTTCAACTTAGGGTAAACACAGCGCTCATCACTGTCACTTTTTTACCCAGCCGTCCAATCACAGTGGAGGAGGGGCGGGGCTAATACCACACCGTCCAACTGTCACAACATTCTTTCTGTACAACCATACACTGTAAAAAAATATTGATGGTTTAACTTAAAAAAGTAAAATTTTAAGTTCATTGAACTGGAAAAAGTGAGTTATTACAATGAAGGAGATTGATTTAATCATCAGAAACTCAAAATTATATGTTATCTGAACTAAATAAATTATTTAAGTTGATTTGACAAAAGAAAAAATGTTGTGATTACTACACTGTAAAAAAAATATTGTTGCTTTAACTTAAAAAAGTAAGTAACCTGGGTTGCCTTAAAATTTTAAGTTGATTGAACTGGAAAAAGTGAGTTAATACAATGAAGGAGATTAATTTAATCATCAGAAACTCAAAATAATAAGTTATCTCAACTAAATAAATTATTATAAAGTTGATTTGACAAAAGAAAATATGTTGTGATAACAAATCTTGAAAATATTTTTTACAGTGTAGATATCTATATAAAGGCTAGATGTCTTAAAGGCTAGAGTTTCTGTAGTCATCACCGGCGGCCATCTTGTCACAGGTAAGCTGATGTAAGCTCAGTGGTCAACACGAACGTAAATACTCTTATCTCGTTGAAATCTTGACGGATTTACAAACGGTTTGGTTTCTTACAAACGTTATTAACGTGGCTATAATTATCTGGATGATTATTTATTTATACACTTATTATTCATAAGTATGCTGTGTCATAACTACATCTCTGATGATTATAACAAACCAAACCGTTTGAAAATCGGTAGAAAATTGAGCAAGTTATGGTCATTTAAATAGTACATGTACCATTAACACAATGTTACGAGTGAGCGAGCTGCCTGTGACAAGATGGCCGCCAGGTGCAGACGTCGACCTCCATTGGCCAGCAGTGCGGACGAGATATCTAGCCTTTATATAGATATCTATGTGTACAACGACATCAACCAACAGAGCTAACCGAACAACATGGATGAAAAATAAATGTAACAAATTATCGGCAAAATCAGTTACAAGTAAACTGTGCTGCGGATATTCTGTATCATAGCAACAAAGCGTTTTTCTAGCGCCCGCAGCTAAAACGACCCAATTCCGATATTTTTGCCCCTATGCGACATGTATCTGATCTTTTCATGACAGTCTGAACGACGCAGATCCGATCTTTTCAAATGCGACCCAGGCCACTTGGGTATGTGGTCCAAATCCGATCTTTTGAAATGCGACTTCATTCTGAACGGCCAGGTCACATGATGTATCCGACCCGCACGTCGTTGATATGGGACGAAGTAGGCGTTGAATTCTGCCTTGAAGTAGGCGGGAATGAGAATATTGTAATTGTGCTGGTTCTGTTGGGAAAATAACTTGTATATTGCTAAACAAGCTCCATTGTTGACATCCATGTTTTTAGCTAGTTACTTCCGCAAACAACAAGTGATGTTGTTGACCGTTGAGTACTCTTCTGTGCATGCGGGTCACTTCTGGGTCATTTCACGTTCACCTTCACACAAGAGATCAGAAAAGGTCGCATTTAATTGGAAATGTGAATGGCCTTGCAAAAAAATCAATTTTTTTTTCAAAAAATCTGAAATGAGCATTAAGCCCCTGCAGTGTGAACAGCAGCGCTCTAGTGGACACACGGCCTAACTGCACCTTTAATCCACAAGTTTCCTACGCCCCATGAGGCCTTGCGTCAAAAGTGGGCACGACTTCCGGTTGGAAGTAAACAAAGCGTGATTTGACATGCTTGACACTCGTTCAATCAACAGTTGACAGTCATTCAAGTTATAGCGATCCAAACTAGCTAACGATGTGGGAACACAACCTCGACGAAATTAAAAAGGGTGAAATAACAGTACCTTTACCCTCCGCAGTAGTTGATTGGAAGTATTATTTAACATTATTAATAATCAATACTCATCAAGGCATGGTGACAGACAGTTGTGTGAGCTGACAAACAATTAAAATAAAAAATACACACTTAGTCATTGTGCTTTGGAGTTTATTCAAAATTATAAATGAATGTGCTGCTTGAATACATTAACTGGCACATTTGGTATTCTGTCAACACAGGCTTTGATCCTGAGTTTAGCTGTAACATCAGTAGCGAACAGCCAATCACATGCTGAGAGAGTTTATAGAATATTAAGAATTTAAACAAATGTACACAGGAAGATTCGTCGTCTTTTGGGAGGTGATGGAAACTACAGTCGTTGGCAGGATCAGAGACGGGCTCTGGCAGGATCACTCTGATTTCGTTTTCAGCTTATGTTCAAAACAATCACGTTTAAGCCACTGAACTAGTTTAGTCCGGTTATGCATACAACCGCGAACAGCTCATGTTGTCCCTGAGCTCCGTAACGACATCTCTCATAAAGATTTGCGTCTTTAAATAGTAAAATAATTCTCTGAAAAACAGCTAGCCTTTTGGCTAACTAACACACAAAATACCACTGGAATGCTACTTCCGCCGCGTCACCGGAAGTTTCACCCACTTTATTTTTTACAGGAGCGCCCCTCGGAAACTTGTGGATAACATTGAGTGTAAAACTGCTCTGTTCACAGGAATGAGAAATGCCATGAGCAATACACCACTGATTTCATCCATAAGCTCTACTCCGCAGAGGGCAAAGGCGTCTTCGACTGCAGGGTCAATGTCCTGGGACACCTGCAGCAGGTACAGGCGCAACTTAACAACTAATAAAGTGACATCTCTGTGCATACTATGAATTATCTTAAAAATCACATGCTTTTCAAATCGTAGCGCACGTCATAGTTGATTCACACACAAATACTGTGTAAAAGAGCCTAATTAGGGTTTCTAATTAGTTTCAATATACGTTATTTCTTGCGACTAAACAGCTATTCATATGATATTTAAAAATCCTGTAATGCATCAAATATTTAGGATCGGCATTGTTTTGATCTCAAAACATGCATTTATTATAATGTTATATTATAACAGTGCAAATTTCATCTGAACAGTTTTTCATGGAAAAGCAATAAGTTCATATTAGTTAATGCTGTAGCTGATTAGTTAATCAGAATTGTTAGTTCATATTAGCTCAGATCCATTAAATAATATTAACAGATACTTAAGCTTTTAATAGTGTATTTGTAAATGCATTGCAATGAAATTAACATTAACTAAGATTTTAAAACTCTTTGTTAATAGAGTGCCGAAGTGACAGTGTTGTAGTACTCGAGACTCGAACTCGTCTCGGACTCGGTCTCGAGACCATATTTTAATGGTCTTGGTCTTGTCATGGACTCGTGTTCATTTGGACTCGGAATTGACTTGTACTCGAATATTTTTTTTTTTAGGACTCGGACTTATTCCTGAGTCCACTCGAGTTCAATTCAAAATATTTTTCATGATTATTAATGTATGTTAATAAAATATTTCTTTAAACTGATTGACACGCCCAGCGATTGGTGATTTTCTAGTGCGCAACTGCGCATGACAAATTGCAATAAAATTACTTTTAACACCACCTACTATGTGGCCTTTTTACCCTAAACTGATCATATTTTTTAAACTCTGGTCTCGGCCTCAACTCGGACTCGACCGTCTCTGGTCTCGGACTCGACTCGGACTCGACTCTCTATGGACTCGGTCTTGACTCGGACTCGACTCTCTCTGGTCTCGGCCTCGACTCGGACTCGACCGTCTCTGGTCTCGGACTCGACTCGGACTCGACCATCTCTGGTCTCGGACTCGACTCAGACTCGACTCTCTATGGACTCGGTCTTGACTCGGACTCGACTCTCTCTGGTCTCGGTCTCGACTCGGACTCGAGTGAGGTGGTCTCGACTACAACACTGCGAAGTGATGACGTCACTTTGTAGGACAACTCTGAAGCAAGCGGCGCATGGTTTCCCTCGGTCGAAAAGCAATGCATTTTCCACATAGACTTTTGGAAAATCGCAAAAAATAAGATCTGTGTTCAACAAAGAGTTGTGACCCTTACACGTTTTGTCTAGCAAGATAATCTTTAAAAGTTAATCCAAAATGTATAAATTTTGAAGCCTATATAAAGATTTTAAAAAACACAATTAGACACAATAAAGTTTAAAAAACCACAAGCAGGTTATAACTGTGTGTTCTGCGTCATAGATCAAAACGTGAAAATATTTAGAGGCTTTGTTCACCACAGACCTTATTTCAGGCGATTTAGCAAAAACCCATTCAAAAATCCCATAGACTTTAGAGCGAGGGAACCGTAGTGCTAAAATGCTAACTCACTTCCGCGTTTTAGCCTACAGAGTGACGTCGTAACTTCGGCACTCTATAATTGGAATCTTATTTTAAGTGTTATCAAATTTTTCATGGATTACTTAAAGTATAATTAGTTGCATTATTAAACGATTGTAACATTGGGGTTTGGCTCTGCTGAAAGAAATGCAGTTTTTCTGATGATGTTTCTCTGGTGTTTATAGGGTGGAGTGCCGACACCGTTTGACAGAAACTACGGCACTAAACTGGGCGTCCGAGCCGTGCAGTGGCTCACAGAAAAGATGGTCGACAATTTTAAACTAGGTGAGAGGATGTTTAATATAAAACTAAATATATCTGTAAATATTTCTGACTCTGATTTGACATCAGGTGAGAGTTTTGGTCATAAAATAACTAATGGAGGGCTTGCGTTTTTGTCAATGATAGTTAGTCTCATGACAGAACTACTGTAATTGTGAGCAGCGGTTTGAACTTTAGGTTTCTGAGTAAAGCCAGTGTGTTTGTGTCTGTCAGGTCGTGTGTTTGCTAACACCCCAGACACGGCCTGTGTGATCGGCTGTATAAGAAGGTTTTGACCTTCAGTCCCGTCACTGAGCTGAAGGACCAGACCGACTTTGTGTGAGTGACTCTAACAATCGCACACACTACACCAGGGACACCAGGGGGGACGTCGGGTTGATTGGGAGCCTTTTTCCTAGACATAGCAAGAGCAAAAAGTGTCCTAGTCAACCTGACGTCACCCTATTAGGTACATACTTCTTTCACAACCAGTTGTGCAGTCATACTTAATTTAACCCTTGTGGATCAATTAAAAAAAGTTACACATAGGTAAAAAGAGGACAAAAATGTCCATGTCAAAAAACTGTCATAAAAATGTGACGCTTTGGAGCACAGACTTAAGTTTGGTATCATTTTAAAGAAGACCCTGTGCAGATTATTGCTGAAGTAAAAAAAATAGTAATAAGTAAATCCAAAAAAAAGTTATATAGGTATAAGTTTATGAAAATTATTTATAAAAAATATTTTATATAAAATATATATTTTATAAATCAGGTTGAACTCAAAACTGCAATAAAATCAAAGCCATACATCTAAATAGGTTGTATTCCAAATTTGAGGATGATATCTCAAAAAATGAGCTTTCGGTAACAGTTTGTTTGGGCGTAGTAACATATTTTCCCCATTGGGTGCCAGCAAAACCCCACTGGAGCTCACAGTGATTGGAGTTTTTCTCTCTCAGTATTACAAACAAACACATATTTTTTTTATAACACACATACTAACCACACTCTGACATCCATACCAACACACCCACACAAATATCATTGCATAATTTATCCAGTTGGCTCTATAATATGCCGAACCAGAAAACAGGAATAAAGCGATATTTGTTTTATAGGCCAAACTTAAAAAAAAAAATGGCACCATCTGATACAAAAATGAAGCCTTGCCATCAGAATGAAAGCCTCTTAACAAAGATTGCATAATTTTATAGTTAACTGAACCGGGGATTAAAAATGGCAGTTTTAATGGGTTTCAATAGGGACATTTTTGTCCAAAAGATGCTGAGAGGGAGTATTTTTTGTACCTAATGCAAAAAAATGACGGTGAAATAGTAAAATTCCAATAAAATACACACAAGTTTTTTTGCAGTTAGCTTTAACACAGGCAAAGTGATCAAAAGAACAAAACTGAAAAGGACAAAAATGTCCATAAGGATGCACAAGGGTTAAAATATTTTTTTTCCCCTCATTTAATAAAATATACACTTTTGAAAGATGTTGAAAAATCATACACATTCTCACGAGATGATGAGAGGAAATGCTGTTACAATGGAGGGACCGAAAGCTCTCGGACTAAATCTAAAATATCTTAAACTGTGGTCTGAAGATGAACGGAGGTCTGACGGGCTTGTGACGACAGTCATTAATGACATCATTTTCATTTTTGGGTGAACTAACCCTTTAACTAATGTTGTAAACTAGTGTCACCGGTCTCATTAAGCAGTTTCTCTCGCCCCTCAGCCATCGGATGCCCAAGACTCAGTGGTGGCTGAATTTCCGGCTGATGCTGAAGATGTTGGCAAAATATCAGACGTCTTTCAACGAATACGTGACGGGAGAGATCGAACACGTGACCCGTCGCTCTCTCAGCATAGACACCGGGTTTTAAAGCAGTCCCGTCCTCCAACGACTGACACTCCTCCGTTAAAACAGGTGAACGTCTGATGCTTAAGTGAGTAAAGGAGGGTACGACTCTAGACTAGTGCCTAAACCTGATCCTCTTCTCCATTGGACGCCTGTATTTGCACCATCTTTATGCTGCACTGATGCAGAGTGTCCAAAACTAGATCACTCCCAGTGTAATTCATACATTTACATTAATCCGGGTACTTTTTAAACTGTGTTTTCTTTTCAAAACACTCTCCGTCCACACTGAAATGTCTGAAAACTAGGGGTGTAACGAGACCCTCATGTCACAATTCGATACACGATACTGAACTCACAATACGATATTATTGCGATACTCCAAGACATATGATAAAAGGTTAACAAAACATTTTTGTATTGCGATATATTGTGACACGATACTGTATATTGTTACACCCATACTGAAAATGCTTAAGTCATCTTACTGTGTATGCAAGACCTAATATTTTAAATTCCTCAAGCTATTAGTTTCTTTGCAAAATATCAGGTCACACTCGATAATATGCATCATCGTTGTCAAATACTTCCGTTTTCAGTTTTCACACTACAAGCCGTAAACGGCACGTTCAAACTTATGCACTTAAATGCATAACGCTCAGTTTTAGCAGGACAAAAACACTCCTCAGTGAAAGGACTAAACTTAGAGAACACACTGCACTTGATTATTTTTAACAAATATAATATGTGTGAATCTATTGCATATAAATGTAATTTGTTATATATTTGAACCACTTTAGACCATTTTATCAAAGCCAGCTCGTGATGTCTCTGGTCTTCTAAATAAAATCCCCTTGTTGTTAAATATATATATATATATATATATATATATATATATATATATACATAACTTTGACAATGTAAAGTTATTTTGCTGTTGAAAAACAACTAACGCAAAGTATTTTCCTTGTGCAATGCAACACCAGTCACTTTCAGTGTAGACGGCCACTGTTTTATTCTTTATACTAAACTGCTGCTGTTAGTTGTTCAACGTTTCTGCAGAATTTACTGTATATGTCCTGGCAAATGTTTATTCCAGCAGCTTTTCCATGAGGCAATGCTAGTACACCACGAGCAGGTAAAGCTGGTGATTGTTAAACATTTGAACAGGTGATTTGTGTTGTGTCTGTGGTATTGTGTGCCTATGCAACGTGATTAATGTGAAGCAATATAGCATGTTTTACATCTTCAGTATTGAATGCTCTACATTGACACTCATTGAAAAATCTAGAAAATAATGTTGTAAGAGTGTAAATAACACTCTTACAACAAAATAATATAAAAGTTAGGTTTTTTTTTTGTTGCATTGTGACATTATTTTCATACACACTAACATAATGTTAACATTGCAGTATTAAGAATGAGATTTTTTAGTTTAATTGTCATGAAAATGTCACAATGCAAAAATCCTAAAGATCCTAAAAGTTTAATTTTAATTTTGCAAAATGTATTTTTTTCTCCTGATTTTGGGGGTTAAACATGGCCTGCTTTGACCAGTGTGATAAACTAAGACTACTCTTAAAAATTAGTTGTTTTTATTCTTCGAGACTGGTCCTAACTTTTAAAGTACATAAAAGTTAGATCAGTTTAATGTGAATTGGATATTTTATCTAACTGCTAGTTGTTCACTAGTTCTTAAGATAGTCTTAACATAGTGACTGTGTTTATGCAACTGGACGTGTTCTTCTGGTTTTGTGACCATTTCAAAGTTCCATGTTTTTCCGTATTATGAACTATGAAATAGTTATTTTACTGAAATCTACATAAGTGTACAGTAAACGATTCAGTTTCTGTCTGTAAATTTAAGCCATCACAATCTAACTCTTAAAATGTAAATGATGAATATCATATTAAAAGGAATATACTGTCATACATACATATATTAAATCTATAATAAAAAGATATATGTTTAAAATACCTTGCTGTGTTGTAAGTAGAGGGAAAACAATTTAAAATAGACTTTTTCAGTGTTATATTTTCAGTAACAAATACATTTAATGAGAAGAATATGCAAACATGTTATTTTCTATTAATTAGTTATAATGCATGCATTGAAGTATAAGCATATATTGAAATGATCTCTGTGAATAAGTTATTTTGAATCATGTTGAGCAAACAAAAATTGCAGCAGTGAACAAAATCTGCAGTAAATATTGCCTATAGTATAGAATGTAACGTCAACAGACATTTGAACACATCTCTGAAGTTTATGTTTATGAAGTTATAATTTCCCAAAGCTGAATGAAAAGGGGAATGAATCACCAGGTCCTGAAGTGTCCTGTGTGGATGAGCTCTTCTGAGGGCTTTCCATCCCGAACGAGAAGGAAAACTCCTCCTGACGACTCTCGGCTTCATCAAACAGGAAATCTTGTAGAGAAACAACAGCATTAACTCAAGACGCTTGATTTTTCATGAAAATATAAGACTATTTTTATGTACATAGAACCATTTAGGCAAAATATAATTTATACTTTGTTAATTTTTTTTGGGAAGAAGTCTCTTGCTCATCAAGGCTGCATTTATTTTATTAAAACGACATTAATATTGTGAAATATTATTACAGTTTAAAGTAACCATATTCTATGTGAATATATTGTAAAGTGTAATTTATTCGTTCTTCATTTCTTTTTTTAAGAATTCAGCAAAGATGCATTAAATTGATCAAAAGTGACAGTAAAGAATATATTTCTATCTTACATAAATGCTGTTCTTTTGACCTTTCTATTCCTCAAAAAAAAAAAAGATCACGGTTCAAACTAAAAAATGTTGAACATTAATAATATTAAGAACCATTATTAATAATTGAACACCAATAATATTTCAGCACTTTTTCTGAAGGATCATGGTGTTGTAATGATGTTGAAAATTTGAATAAATTACATTTTAAATATATTCACAAAGAAAAACGTTATTTTGAATCATAATATTGACAATATGACTGTTTTACTGTATTTTTGATCAAATAAATGGAGCATAATCATAATAAATGGTGACCATATTGATAAAAAAAAAAAAAAAAACTTACTTATTCCAAACTTTTGACAGGTAGTGTAGATGTTACTCATGAATCTTACTTTACCTGAGAACTTGGAAGTTGATCCTGGTGACTTCTGTTACCAGAAATACAAAATCAGCTTTCAAACATTTAAAACCATTAAACACAACAAATATTTCTCCAGAAATACCTTGTTGCTGAAATAGGAGCTTGTGAAGGTAAATGGAGATGCCTACAACACACACACACACACACACACACACACAAATGAAATGATGAAACTCTTTAATGAATCAATCTTCCAGCTTCTGAAGTTCACCTCTTCTGGTGCCGATCCCACGTCAAAGTCGCAGCCTGGCTTGGAGAACGCAGGTGTGTTTGGACCCGACATCATGGAGAACACAAAAGCGGGAGACTTGGTGTCTGAGATGTCCTGTCCTCCAGGTGAGCATCTGGGACTGTTGCTGTTAACAGATCGAACAGTGATCAAAATACTTCTATTAAAACGTGTTTACTTTCTGATACATGTCCCTGCTCTTGTGAATGATACATCAGAGCATGTTAAGCTAAGCTAGCAGGCTCTTGTTCTGTGTAGAAAGCTGAGTAGTCGGGGTTACCATCCTCTTTTTCCCGGACATGTCCGGCCGTCGCCTGCAGTCGCCATTCATTGTTTACATGCACAGCTTTTGTTTCAATCTAACTGAATTCATTCCGATTGTTGAATCTGAATGCAGTGTTTACATGAACGCTTAACAAGTGATCGGTTGTTGTACGTTTCAACATTGCTAAGAAAATTCCCGCTCCTCCGTGAGAGATGCGAGACCGGTGCGTCTCACAGGTGTCGCTCATCGGCCTCGCGCCGTTCTCAAAACGCAAACGCAAAACCCGAATCCCGGACATTTTGGGCAATCTCGAAACACATTTTCAGGCAGACTCATGATGGAGACTCACTAGTAGCCTAGACTTGTTTAACTACTGCGCTCTGTTACCGGTAGGCGTGGCCTCCTAGGGCAGCGAAGCAAGTGCATTCTGGGAGTTGTTGTCTTTCATCCACATAAAGCCAAAAATACATTTTCTGGCTTTTCTCAGTCTAGAAAGCTCCAAGTTAAAAAATAATTTCACATTTCTTCTACATAAGTGACCCATTTTAAATACACATTCATCTTTCCAGAGGTAAAGTATCCCTTTAATATTCAGTATTACTAATTTGACTGATACTATTGGATGAGAACAAAACTTGAAGTGAATTGAGTTGAATAATGACACTCGTCTTCTGTAGAGCTGTTTACAGCTGAATTGTTTCATAATTGATTAACTTTACAGTTATTGAACTGAATGGAGCTGAATAATGGTCTTTTAAGAGCTGCTTACAGCAGAATTTGTCTCATGTTTTTATGAATTGCATTAATGATTCTGTTATTTTTCTGTAAAGCTGCTTTGAAACAATGTGTACTGTATAGTGCACAAGTTGTGCACCACAATTTAGGTGTCTCCCTGAAAAGTGCATGAAGAAAAATAGGTTGCAAATGTTGTTTCATGTTGACTTTAGACAGATGGCAGCATATAGAGGTACAGTGAGGTCAGGTCGTACTTTAAGGAGAAGGTCGGGGTGTTCGGTGTGGCTTTAATTCTAGCCGGTGAGGGAGGAGGGCAGACGGGACCCTCAGTCACTGTGTACTCGTGAGTTTCTGCTGTGGTCGTATCCAAACTATCTTTCTCCTCCTCCTCTTCTGATATTTCCACCATGAGCTCAGAAGCACATGAAACATTCACATTCCCCTGCTGCATTCATCCAAACAGAAAATATAAGAATTTATATGCGGTACACTACAGGTCAAAAGTCATGCATTTGAAAGAAGACTCTTACAGCAAAAACAGTAATATTGTGAAATATTATTACAATTTAAAAGAACTGTTTTCTATGTGAATATATAGTAAAATGTAATTTATTCCTGTGATCAAAGCTGAATTTTCAGCATCATTACTCCAGTCTTCAGTGTCACATTATCCTTCAGAAATCTATCTAATATGAGGATTTGATGCATTTTCAGAAAGATTTCTGATTATCAATGTTGAAAACAGTTTTTGATATTTTAAATCTTTTTTTAAAGAAATTAATACTTTTATTCAGCAAAGATGCATCAAATTGATCAAACGTGACAGTAAAGACATTTATCATGTGATTTCTACTTCAAATAAATGCTGTTGAACTTTCTATACATCAAAGATTTGTGGGGGAAAAGGATCACTTTTCACACAAAAACATTAAGCAGTTTTCAACACTAATAATAAGAACCATAATAATTGAGGAGCTAATCATTAGAGTGATTTCTGAAGGATCATGTGAGTGACACTGAAGACTGGAGTAATGATGCTGATTTTTTTTTTTTAAATGTACAATGTATTCAAATAGAAAATCGTTGTATTAAATTGTAATAATATATCACAGTATTACTCTTTTTACTGTATTCTTCATAAAATAAATTGAGCATTGATGAACAGAAGAGACTTCTTTTCAAAAACATTTAAAAATTTTTTAATTATTACAAACATGACCGGTAGTGTATATTTTAATCATTTAAAACCAGTATTTCAACTATACCGGTTCATTCACCTTCTCTGACTGTCTCTGATCGCCTTCTTGCATTTGATCTATAACGAAAGGAAAACTCGACTGTGATCGATAAATCTGTGTGCTTATTGTGGTTTATCTTGTGATCCTTTCAAAATATTAATATATGCTGGTGCTTACCTTCTACAGTTTCTCTCTTTTTCCATAAGCAGTGGGAAAATGTGTCCATTTGAGATTCACTTTCTGCAGTTTTAACCTTATTCGCCTCAGAAGGATCTTCATCACCCATGTGCTCATCTGCGTATTCTTCAGGCCTCTAAAAGTTACAGAACTCACAATAACTATTAATATTAGTATAAAGTATTAATTCTAGTATTAAATAGAATGTTTTCTCTCCCAATTCAGTACCTGCATTATGGGCTCTGGATGAGGGACCATTTCATCAAATGATTCGCTTTCAGTTTGTAGGCCGTCATTGACTGGACACTTACTATTTTCATAGCGATTTCAGAAAAAAGTGAATTAGACGAATGAACAGAAGCGTATTGCATTCACTTGAGGAAAGAAAATCTACTCTGTTTTTCTGAATTAACGAGTTAATTATCTCAGAATTACAAGATAATTTTTCATGGAAAAAAGTTTTTGCTCTGTTTTTCTGAATTAACGAGTTGATTAATTCATAAAAACAGAGTGAAAAAAATGTTTTAAAGAAAAATGTATCTCATAATTCTGAGATAATTAACTTGTTAATTCAGAAAGTGAATGCAATAAGCTTCCGTACGAAATGCGAATGCAACAAACCTCAGATAAAAACAAATCTGCTGTAAAGATAAAATACCTGTCAGCACCATCAGTGACTGGCTCCTCCTCACCTGTCAAAACAGAAAAAGATCTGTGTTGAAGGAATAGTTCACCCAAAAATTATTTCTGTTGTTAGTTGTATTATTTTTATTTTTGAATGAACTGTTACTTTAAGAACCCATTACCCATTGCTGCTGTCAGTTCTCTATCCTTCTCCATTATTTGTTCTTCTATTGCTCTTATTCTCCTTTCAATTTCCTCATTCTCAGCTTGAGCCTTCAGCAGTTTCTGAGCTAGTGGGTTCTGACAGTATCGATCCTTATACTGCTGAAACACGTTCCTGTAGCTCTCGATTCTCTCCTGGAACATTTTCCTTCAAAGACCAAGCATCTTTAGCCCTATAAAGCCTAATGTATTATGTTTCATACATGAACTATGCATCATGAATTATAACTTTACTGAAAAACCTGTCGCACACAATCCACTACCTGCCTTCTGTCATCTGACTGATATAGTTTAGATGTTTTTAGCAAGCAAAAGGTAATTACGTTCATCTTTTCTGTATTTGTTGTGTTGTGAGTATTTGCAGCTTGTTTCTGTATTTGTTGTGTTGCAAGTAAGTGCTTCTGTATTTGGTTTTGTTGTGAGTATTTGTTGTGTTGTGAGTATTTGCAGCTCATTTTTGTATTTGGTTGCGTTGTGAGTATTTGGAGCACATGTGTTGTCAAACTAATGAAGATGTTTTCTTAATTTGCTAGGTGTTTTTTCTAGCGTGCACTGTCTCCGTCACTGTACAACACATGATTTTTTTTTTACGCTGGACCTACATGTCTTGCTTGTAGCTGTCCTGTCTCTTCTCTAGTTCAGCTTCCAGTGTCTTTTCATACTGAAGCAACAGATGTCCTGTTCTCTGTTGACTGATATCAGAGCAAAATATTCATATTAAACAATAATATGCTAAGTTTGAGATTGGAAAATAAAAATACTGTCAGTCACACTTTGCCATACTTTTTTGTGTTTTCTTTGATAAACTTGACAGTGTTTTGTTTTTGCTGGATCTCCACATCAAGTTTGCTGATAGTAAGTTGTGTTGTCTTAATGTAGTCCTTCTTCTCCTGAATGTTGGACTCACAAACTAAAAACACAACAGACAGAACAATTGATGATAAACTCTTTATATTAAGTTATATATGTGGGTGTTCAGGGGAGCTTTTTGTCCAAGGCTTATCCAATGTTTCAGTCAGGTGTTCCTAAAAACTTACTTTGTAATTGCTGCTTGAGGTCATTATTCCTCTGAGCAAGTTCTCGACTCTCTATACCTGTCGTAGATAAAACAGTATACATTACATATCAAGTTAAACTTGTCAAAGAACCAGTATGTTAAAAAAAATGAAATGAAGCGAACTCATCACCTAACTGAAGCAGCAGGTTGTCCAGTTGATTTACCGTCTGCTCCTCCATTCAAACCCAAGAAAACACACACACACAGGTATTGAAAATAATACCACAGATGTCACGTAAATGGATCTATTTTACAGTCTTGATAAATTATATAACTCAAATATGTAATTAAAAGGCGAATATTGTGCGTATATCGACGAATATACGGTGCTCGAGCGCGTCAGTGAGTTAAAACGTCCGTTAAACGAATTTCTGTCTGACTAACATGTGATGACGACATACCGTACTCGCGGTCTCAGATCAGTTTCAAATAAATTAAATAATACAAATTAATAAATTGTTGAAAAAGTAAGTTAACTTCGTTAGCCTGGCGGGAGACAAGTCGTTACTTGTTTTCAGAATAAATACTGAAATCGATTTAACCATGTGCAATCAGTAACAATCATTGTGCATATCAGTTAAATTACCTAATTTTGTAAAATATTTTATAAAATAATTATTCATTCAAATAAATTATTTTGATTAAATAAAAGGACTATTTAGAATAAAATACTTATTATAATAACGTAGTCACAGTGGATCCGGCTAGAGGAGGGGGCTTCGATTTATCATCATCTGATTGGACGAGACGTGCGTTCCAGAGTTAATGGGCGGGACTTGTATGCTTTGTGGCCCAGGCGCATCTGTATGGCGGCTGCTGTTGGACATTTAACCCAGATAAACATTTAATCGCAAGAGTTTTCACAGCGGTTCTTTCATGCATGTGCCTCTGGTAGGTGCGAATAAGGTTATGAATTAAGCAGGAGCTTCTTGTGTTTGTGAATAAGACTCTTCTTACAGTAGATCATGGTGTGATTAAAACCAGAGAGGATCAGCTGAGACAAAAACAGCCTCCGTCTGGCGCTTAGGCTTTACAGTTCACTGATTTAAAATAAACCGCTATCTCAGTGGGGTTTAAAATGAAGGATTTTTAGTTTTAGACGGTATTTTATTAAAACATAATCCTACAATTGACAGTACGATTCCGTTATCTATATGTCTTTGTTTCTCTGACAATAGATCTGATTGAGACCCAGCTCGCTGACGGAAGGGTGTTGTTTCCTACACAAAATATGTATGTCTGTGTTATTTTAGTATTATACTATTTTAGCAATTATTCACATTTTAAATTAGCTTTAATTTTTATATTTTCATTTTAGTTTAAGTTTGTCTTTTTGTCATGTTTTAGATTTAATTTATGTTTACTTCAGTTTTAGTACTTCAAGCTTAGTTATTTTATTCCAGTATCTAATTTTTATATTTTATTGTACTTTATTTTAGTGCTGGTAAATCGATTATTCGCATCTAACCTAAAACTTTGTGTATAGACACACACACATTAAATATTTACAAACTTTTATGTTAGATGCAATTAATCACGATTAATCAGTTTGATTGAACTACTTTTTTTCAATTAACAATTTTATTTATTTATTTATTCATTTAACAACAACACTGGTACATGTTCACAGTTAAGGAAAATCAATAAAAGTTTTAATACACCTTCACCCCTACCAGATATTACACCTTGAATACATTTTGAAAAAATTGACAACTTGCCCTAACTTGACAAGACTTACATTATCTTTTAGTTCAAATGAGACTAAATAATGTAATTTTGCCCTTATTTTCCCGTTTGATTGAATGTATGCCAACTGTGGATCATGATGTCCTCTCTTTTTCATAGGCTTATCAAGTGTGAATGGAGTAAATAGCCTTTTCCTAGTCTCTCTGGAGTTGTAGCTCTTCTCGAAGCTTGTGAGACAGTGAGCATGGAGCCGGTGGAGCAGCTGGAGTCTGTTCGATCTGAGGTCTCGGATGGGTCGATGGATGTAGGAATCAGCGGGACCAGCACTCGACGGAAGAGGAGAAAGCGGGAACACCGGCCGGAGTCCATCATCGTCTACCGCTCGGATCCAGAGAGAGCCGCTGGTGAAGAGCATGGAGCAGATGGTGAAACTGGCGAGAGGAACTCTGAAGAAGGGGCTACATTTCTCAACAACCCCAGCACTGAAGGTGAAGCACTACATTTTGTACCTTATCCTAACCACAAAAAAACAAAAAACAATTGCAGTTTAGTTTCAATAAATTGTTGCATTCTAATGCAAAAAGCAAAAAATATCTCCAAACTAATTTTCAAGAGCATGGAAAAACACGTTTTCTCATAAACAATCTTACAACATAAACCAAAAGTTACTCATTAGTTAGTGCACTGTTCCATCTGTTGAAAATGCTAAAAGTGAAGGTACGTATTTTTCATCGGACAGTGACAAAATGCTATTTCTTCATAAGAAAATGAATTTTTGAGTTCTGAAAGTTACTAAACAAGTACTCTTTTATCTTGAGAGATTTCGGAAAATTTGATTCCTCATTTAAGTAGGAATTTATTTCTTAGGGATGGGCAACGATTAATCGCATCCAAGATAAAAGTTTGTGTTTACTTTACATAATATATGTGTGTGTAGTGTTTATAATTAATTTGTATATATAAACACCCACACATGTATGTGTATATTTAAGAAAAATGTGTTATTAATATATCAAATATTTATATTTATATATAATATTAATTATGTGTAAATATATATAAAGTATATACATGCAAATATTTCTTAAATATATGCATGCATGTGTGTGTATTTATATATACAAATTAATTATACACACTACACACACATGTATTATGTAAACACAAACTTTTATTTTGGATGCGATTAAACGTGATTAATCATTGCCCATCCCTACTTTATAAAATATTATTATTATAAAGCAGCTTCACAGTGGAAAATAACAGTGTTAATGAATCTATAGTTTTGCGAAACAAGCTGATTTCAGCACTACAGAAGACAATAATGTCATTATTCAGCTCAATTCAGTTTCAATTAATTTTGTTCTCATCTGTGCAGTTAAATCGAAAATTACTGAATATTAAAGGTACACTATGTAAGAATTTTGTAAAATATCCAAAAATCACTTGCACAGTGTGATATATTTCCAGCAGTTGTGAACTTACAATATCCCAAAATAACAAATCTCAGATAACGGTTGATTAGGTAACAATGTGTAATTAGACCAAAGGTTCATTTTGCGCCGGAGTTCTCCTTTAATTGGAAATGCATTCTGCCTCATTGTAAATAAATTGTCTTGATCTCATTAGGCTGGGCTGTGCCTCCAGATAGTCGCTACGTGACGCTCACAGGGACCATCACGCGTGGAAAGAAGAAAGGTCAGATGGTGGACATTCACGTGACGCTCACAGAACGAGAGTTGCGTGAGATGGCGAGGTCAAAGGAGCGCCTGGATGCCGAATGCGACGCCCGAGAGGGATCGAGTCGCTCGTGTGGATTCGGCGTTTCTCAGGGTCCTCACGTCGTCTTGTGGAGCCTCTCCTGTGCTCCCGTGGTCTTCGTCCTGTCCTTCATCACCTCGTTCTACTACGGGACGCTCACGTGGTACAATATTTTCCTGGTGTACAACGAGGAACGGACGTTCTGCCACAAAATCACGGTGTGCCCCTTCCTCATCATCTTCTACCCGGTGCTCATCGTGGCGCTTTCGCTGTCGCTGGCTCTTTACTCGGCCGTGGCGCAGGTGTCCTGGGCTTTCAGCGAGTGGTGGACGTCCGTCAGGGATTTAGAGAAGGGTTTCTGCGGGTGGGCTTGTGGGAAGCTCGGTTTGGAGGACTGTTCACCCTACAGCATAGTCGAGCTGCTGGACTCGGACACAATCTCTGGGAGCCTGCAGGGAAAGTCGCTGGAAACATCCTCGGTGTGAATAGATTTTCTCAGATGGTTATCGGTCCTGTTTATTGACACTTGGAGAGTGTTATGGGCTGTTTACACGTGGTATTACGATGCGTTTTGGTCGATCGGATCACTAGTATACAGGTGTAAATGGGGTCTAAAACGTTTTGAGCTAGTCCACTTTTGACCACTGCAAAATGTTGTTGAAAACGCATTTTTATAGGATTGCAAATGTATTCAAACAGCCAAAAAATACTCAAAAAGACTCACACTAGCCAGACAGGATTAAAACTTTGGTTTCAGGTTTGGTTTCAAGCAAGCGGCAAACTTCCCGTCTCTCTCTTGAATCCAACACAGAAGTGACTTAAACTGCAATTCATCGACTGGCCACTAGAGACAGGCTGCAAAAGTGAGTCAATCCCATAGACCCCCATGTTAAAATACCCAACTTTACAGCAGAAAGAACTATATTTACAGTCTGGTACAAAAAGTGGTTTTGGTCTATATACCTAATTTTGCCCTTCGTGACAACTGTGAGTTGGGTGAATTGTTTTATAACTCATCCGTTAAAATTATATTAAGCCTTAAAGGTAGTTGAAAATGCATTCGACTTGCATTGCAAATGTGTTTAAACTGCCACAAATGACTCTCCTTATATTCTCCGCCTACTTCTACTTTGGTTTAAAGATGAAAAACATACCAAGCACAATGTTCTCTCACCGTTCCTGATTTCTAACACTCACACCGCTCTGCGTGATCCTGTTTATTGCCACTTGGTGAGTATTAATTTAGGATCCTGGGCCAAACTTTTGTTTTGTTTTTCTTATAGCTCACAGGTGAGACTCGAAAAATGAGAATATGGTGCAAAAGTTAATTTATCTATGGCGAAAAAAACCTTTAAGGGTCACATCACATCCTGTTTTTGGTTCATTTAGACTTCTTTGGTCCGTGTTGCATAGTCGAAACCGCACCAGAGTTTGTTTTAATCCTGTTTGTTTTGTTTTAACGTTTTTTTATGAAACCGTGTTTTCTTATTTCATATTGTATGTCAGACTTTCAAACTTTCCTAAAGATGTGTATTTAAAATATTTATTCTTTCCTATTTTATTGTATTTATTTGGTAATACTCTACAATAAGCTCCTATAGACCATTTCACAAGATGTAAACAACACTGGTCCAGAAGCACTTCCTGTTTCAGTTTGTAACTGTTTTCTTTATTTCACATGTAAAGAAAACATCTTAAAGATGTTTGTTTAACTTTTTGATTCAGTTTTAAATGTTCTGTTGGTTGTATTTTATCCCAGCTTTTATGTAGTGTTAAAAAACTGAAACAGGAAGTGCTTCTGGACCAGTGTTGTTTACATCTTGTGAAATGGTCTATAAGCTGAATTAACTAATGAACAATACAGTGCTTATTAATCTTTAATAACGTTTTTTAATAACAATTTATCTACTCACTACATTGTTAACTCGGGTCCATTAAATATTAACAATACAACTATTGATTTTAAAAATCTAGTAAAAATTGAAAGCTTTAGAAGTATTTTTCATTGTTAGTTCATGTTAACGAATGTAGTTAACAAATGGAGCCTTATTGTAAAGTGTTACCATTTATTTTTACCATTTGCATGTTTTATTTTAATTTAAAATATATTTTTTTCTGTACGTCAGAAGGGTAAAGAAAAGAACAGAGGAGTAAATGCTTTGCATAACTTCCTGCAAAATTAAGCCATACAGTGTATATGTGCAATTAATCTGTGATTATTTTATATTAGAGATTTAATTTGCTCACTAACGACGAATGCCGAAGAGAATTTATGTGCTGAATGGTGTGTGTGTGTGTGTGTGTGTGTGTGTGTGTGTGTTTATGATATATACGCGGGGCAGATAATTATTCCAAAAAATATGTTCATAACCAGTTCCTGGGCATCAAAAGAACATTTTAAATAATTTCAAATCAAATTCATTATGAGAAATGTGTTACTTTTAACATGTGTTTGGTTAGTTAGGAATGTTTTGTCAAAATTTTGTTTGTTTTTTTCCCTTAGTTTTTGACTTTGCACTTTCATTGTGCAGTAATGCTCAGAAGAGATAATAAAATTCCTATTCATGTATTTTCATGTCAGGTTTGTGTGTATTGTGATCTTTAAAACAAAACATGTTAAAAAGGAATTTTAAGTATCTTTTATAAACTTGACCTAGAAAAACAACAATAACACAGATGTAGAAGCACCAACTTTGCTTGTAAGTTTAAACTTGACATAAACTGTAAACTTGTCCCTCAAATCATAATGGTTGATTGAATGTTGATCCATAAACATGGATTTGGTGAAATTACATTCACATCCAATTTCAAAAGGCTACATGCATGACATTGCATGTCTATCCAGCCACGTGATTTGCCCTGCAGAGACTGTAATGTTCATGTTATGACTGGATATATAAATGTAGTTTGACCCACATAGAACATACTTCATATAGTGTAAGAAGAAAACTCCTGCTTTAAACAGATTTATTCAGTATTCAAGCATAACGTTGTTGATTACTCCAATATTTTGCATAATACATGAGCACTTCTCTTTTACAGGTTGAGGTAAATAATCGTTTACTCGAAGTTTAAAACTGTGTTTTAAACTAAATTAAAGCATTATCAAGTGTCCTGGAATATAGGGACACACACGTTAAATTTATTATCGTTTTTTTTTTTTTTTTCTGAGGCGGAACCTTGTATATTCCGTTCATTTGCTCACCCGGAACAATAACAGACGGACACCAGCAGAGATGGCGCGAGCGGCGAAGGTATTTCAGTCATTATTTGTTTTCATAATCAAAAGCTTGTTTTATTATTAATAAACAGTATGACATAACTTTTATGAGACCCAGTTCATAAAACATACTCACCAACTGGATTGTATTTATGTCCGTATTCGGTCATAATTTTCTGATTTATGTTGTTTCAAACCATATTTTCTCTCTCTCTCTCTCTCTCTCTCTCTCTCTCTCTCTCTCTCTCTCTCTCTCTCTCTCTCTCTCTCTCTCTCTCTCTCTCTCTCTCTCTCTCTCTCTCTCTCTCTCTCTCTCTCTCTCTCTCTCTCTCTCTCTCTCTCTCTCTCTCTCTCTGATAAAGCGAAGAAGAATTCTATGAAAGCTTAATAACTTTTTTACAACAAAAATGACCCATCACAGAACTTATTTAAGCTGGACTGTGATGCTTTTTTCTTCTAGAAACAAACTTTGTAATGTATTTTCTCTCTGTAAAGCTGCTTTGAAACTATCTGTATTGTAAAAATCGCAATATAAATGAAGGTGACTTGACTTGAAAGCTTGTTTCCACCACGTAATAAAAAAAAAAAAGATAACTGGGACTTTTTACCTCACAATTCTGAGAAAAAAAGTCAGAATTGTGAGAGAGAAATTCAGAATTGAGAGTCAGAATTGTAAGTTGAAAAGTTGCGATTGTCTTTTTTTAATTGCAAGACAATTCCGAGATATAAAATATGTATATCTCACTATTCTGAAAAAGTTGGAATTTATGAATAAATTCTCAATTGCGAGATACAAACTTGCAATTGGGAGAAAAAAAAATCTGAATTGTGAGATAAAATCTTGCAGTTGTAACTATTTATACATTATATTTTTATTCCGTTGCGTAAACAAGCTTCCATAGAATTATGAGGTGGATTATTATTTTTCTGCACGTATTCGCAGCTGTCTTTTGCTTTTATTCTGTAGTCAGCGTTGGTGCTGTGCATGGATGTGGGTTTCTCCATGAGCAACTCCGAGCCGGGTCATGAACCGCCCTTTGAACAAGCCAAAAAAGTCATCCAGAAGTTCGTCCAGCGCCAGGTTTGTACTCAATGTTTTCAATTTATTTAAATATTATGTGATCCTGGACCACAAAAACAGTCACAAGGGTATTTTTTTTTTTAAATTGAGATTTACTCATCAGCTGACAATTGAATAAATAAGTTTTCCGTTGATGTATGTTTGTTAGGATAGGACAATATTTGGTCAAGATACAACTAATTGAAAATCTGGAAACTGAGGATGCAAAAAAATGTTTGCGATTTTACTGCATCCACTCACAAAAATATATTTTTTATATATTTACAGTAGGAAATTTAGAAAATATATTAATGGAACCTGATCTTTACTTCAAATATCCTAATGATTTTTGACATACTATAATTTTGACCACAAATATACATGTGCGACTTGTGACTGGTTTTGTGTTCCAGGTTCACATAAATGCTATTACACAGAAGTCAATCAAGCTGTTGTTATATATTTCAGGTGTTTGCTGAGAATAAAGACGAGGTGGCTCTGGTGCTGTTTGGGACTGATGGCACTAAGAACCGTCTGGCCAAAGACGGGGAGTACGAGAACATCACGGTCCACCGGCACCTCATGATGCCTGACTTTGAGCTGCTCCAAGAGATCGAGAGTGAACTTCAGCCTGGTGGTCAGCAAGCAGACTGTATCCTTCATGTTTTCGTTACCATATAATCTTTGAACTTGATAAGATAACACAACACCAGACTTTATAGCTCTCATGAGACTGTGTGTATTGTAAAATACATGAAACAAAATAACACAACATAGAAAACAAATCATTTTGTAATTGAGGGTTTCCAAAGTGTTGTTCATGAGGGAACTGCTGTGAGGTAATAACAAACGAATAATTATTTAAGTAATTTCCCTCATCAGGAATCATAAACAATTTATTTATATTATAAAATAAATATGGTATTTTCAGTATATATATATATATATATATAATAACCTAAACTATATGTTTAGTTTGTTTATACAAATATTTATATATGTAAATGAATTCATTTAATTAAATTTAAGTATTTTTTAATAAACAATAGATAATATAAAGTAATCTATTTGAGGGTTTCCTAACTGCTTCATGAGGGAACTGCTAATAAATATATATAAATACGTTTTATATGTGCATAAATAAATACAAATTATTTTATTTATTTATTTTTTAACAAAAATCACATAATATTAAATAAATTCAAAGGTATCAGGGGGTAGTGATTGATAAAATACTAATAAATTAATTAATTAAAGCATAAAAATATTACATTGAAATAAAAAAATTGTTTATTTTATAAGAAATATTTTATTTGATTACCTTCATGTCAAGAGACCATTAACCACATCAGAAAATCGTAAACAATTTCTTTATGTTTTAAAACATTTTTTATTATTTAGTATACAAATGTATAAATAAAAATAAATAAATATACAAATGTAAAATGTATACAATATATTTTATAATTATATAAATACGTTCAAATGAATAAAAATAGTTATTATATTAAAACATTTTTATTTTAATTGTTTTCAATAAAAATAAAATCATATAAAATAATTATTTTATTTTATAATTATTTGTTTATTTTATAAGAAATATTTTATTTGTTTACCTGCCTGTCTTGTGACCATTAACCCACATCAGAGAATCATCAAGATTTTAAATTTCACATTTCATGGGGACTAGTAAAAATGTTACATCAAAGGTGTTCTAACTTCATGATATTTTACATGTATACAAAAAATATTAAAATGTCATCCTTGACTTATTTGTCAGGGCTTGATGCTCTTGTGGTTTGCATGGACCTTCTGCAGAACGAAACCATGTGAGATTTTTTTCACACATTTTCTTTTTTTCTTTTTAAATGCAATTGAGGGGTTTTTACTGCAGCATTCACACTGTTTTTTTTGTTTTTTTTGTTTTTTTGTTGTGTTTTTTAGGGGGAAGAAAAACGATCGTCTGAACATCGTCCTGCTGACAGATCTGAACGTACAGACCTCGGAGGAC